GAGAACATAATAACAAGTGTTGTTACCAGGGTTGGAGAGAACATAATAACAAGTGTTGTTACCAGGGTTGGAGAGAACATAATAACAAGTGTTGTTGGAAGATGGTATAATAAATTTCAATTGTTTTAATAAGATGATAATTGGTTGAAGAGCATCCTTAGGAGATGATGATTAAAAAATGTACAAATAAGGCATGCTTATCCCCCCATGGTCATGGTCATGGTTAAAATTTGACCATATTACTGGTACTTTAAGCGACTTCACCTCTGGAACTGTGTGATGGATATCAACCTTATATAAATGGAAACATTCTCAGAGGGTGATGATTACAAACTCTACAAATGAAGGAATGACCAAGGGGCTGATGGGCAGGGGAGTAAGAGCAATAGTTGGAAAGGTTTAAGATTGTCATTCTGTAACTATTTACATGCTTGCTTGGTATGAAGACAACACAATCATGCATGGAGATATGGAGACAGTTGAGATCCCCATCCTGAAGCCATTATACACTATTTTACATCTTACATTATGTCTGGTCATGAAACATGATTCTTTGTTTCTCCGAGGTAAGACTCCAAGGGCGAAGACCGAGTGAAACATGATTAATCGTGGAGAAACAAAGAATCCTTATTCTCTAAAGTAAGGGCAATAAATATTTTATCATGCCGGGGGAAAAAAATAAAAAACAATGACACAATTGTAGAGATTATCAGGTTGATGCACCATTGTGTCTTCTGCTTCCGACCTTTGGAACCAGGTTGTGGTTACTCTTGTGCATTTTCTATAGAGGCTCCAAATAAGGGAAATATGTTCGGCGAAACTTGAGCGTGTGAGGGCGATATGATGAGGGCCCCATGACATGTGACCAGTATGCATCTTCCAATCGGACACGCTGGTATAATGATTACTGTTGTAGTTTCAAAGTGGACAGGGTAAAATTCAATCAAGGCCAAAGGTCATGTAAATGACGAAGATAGATTCACAGAGATAAAGAACATGCCATTCTACAGTACAGCAGGAAGTTCAGTACTTCGTTTTAACCCTTTCACCACTGTAGACCATAATGGACTCATCCAGATCAATGCATGGTAGAATCTACTTAGGTTGCATAGGGGTGAAAGGGTTAACAGGACAAGGAGTATGTGTGATAACTTTCTTCAAAAAATTTCAGGAACTGTTGATTTATTTGACTTGCACCGTAAATCTAAAATACTTTGAGAAGGTGTGGATAACTGATGTTTATGTGTTTTCTGTTGTACATTATATAAGGGTAACCTTGGGTAATCGATGATTGTGCGTTTTTTATAGGACATATTTAGGTCCGTTTGTTCTCTTAAATTTGGACGTAGTGACAATATTTCAAAAAAAAATGTTTTGGTTAAGATCATAAATATTACCATTACTCATTCGTATAAAACAATTTGCACAGAATTTATATCCAACATTATTTAAAAATTCTGTTCCCTAAAGGAAACATAAATAGTCAGCTACAGTTTGGAGTATTGAATTTTGGTGTGTCCTTTCCTGCCAACACTGATCTATACAGTTAAGTTTCCCCATAGTGATATAGATTCTAGAGACTTACACCTGCTGTAGGCGATTTTCCTTCGGTCTGTTTAGCTTAACAGTGTGGTAAAAAATACGTTCATCAATTATCTCCAAAACTGGAAATGTATTTGGCAAAATTGTTTTAGTTACTGGGCATCAACTTTTATTACAAATTTCAAAATCATCAATCTTTTCATGTCTGTTGAAAAAAACTGACAATGAGGTTAAACTTGTATGCTAATTACTCTTCAGGAACTTGAGTTTCAAATCCTTTGGTAAAACGCTTTAAAACCTGGAGCATGATGAGCTCTTGGGATCAAGACACAAACAAACAAAGATCCAGAAACTGAAAGAATTATAGGAAAGTGACAAATTGACGCCTGTTTGCTGATTGGTTGAAATTACTTTGGCAACATCTCTTATTAAGTACCCTTCAGAATCTTAAAACAATCAAATTATGGCATGTCAAATTTTGATGAAATGACTGATGAGCATTTCTTCCCGTTTTTAATAACCAATAATGATCATGTGTGTTTTAAGTTTGAACTGCAAACAATTAAATTACACTGCATAGTTAAAGATCTTTGTGAAAGTTACCTTTAAATCAAAAGATGTTACAGAGTATTCAGTGGGGGTTTTCTATTTAATTGTGGTCAAATATTATGACCCCTATTTCCTTGCATTTTGGACATTTTTCTTTTCTAGTATTGAATTTAAATTCACAATTGATAATAAAATAAAAACATATATGAGCAATATTGTAGAAAAAAATATATTTAACTTTACAATTTGTGATCGAGATGGTCACTATTTCCTTGCATTTTGGACATTTTTCTTTTCTAGTATGGAGTTTAACTTCACAATTGATAATAAAATAAAAACAATATGAGCTATATTGTAGAAAAACATATATTTAACTTCACAATTTGTGATCGAGATGGTCAAGGCTGGCATTCATTGCAGAAATAATAGTTACTTGTATACATATATGTATCTTGTCTATCTTACTAACCTTCTGTTTTTTCATGTAAGAATTTTTGTGGACGAACTTTTGTGTGTGGACGGATTTATAATTTACCCTTGTTTGACAAAAATAATACATGTAGTCTAGTTTCATTAAAAGTTATTCTATGCAATTAATTAATGAACTGAATATGAGCATAATTAAAGAGGTGGGGAAATCTGCTTTCATAAACGAGGAATGACAGTAATTTGTGAGTCTCATTCAAATGTATGATGCATGGAGACTTGTCAAGTAGGATCTCTGCTTATATCATTGCCAGTGTATCTCTGTATATCTACCTATATCATTGCCAGATGTCTCTACCTATATCTTTGTATAACTGCCTATATCATTGCCTGTATATCTGCCTATATCTCTACCTGTATATCTGCCTATATCTCTACCTGCATATCTGCCTATATATTTGCCTGTATCTTTGTAAATCTGCCTATACCTCTTTATATCTGCCTATATCACTGCCTATATCTCTACCTATATCTTTGCCTATATCTATGTATCATTGCCTGTATATTTGCCTTTATCTCTATATATCTGCCTTAATTTCTTTGCCCGTATCTCTGTATATCTTCCTATATCACTGCCTATGTATCTGTCGGTTTCTCTACCTGTATCTCTGCATAGCAGTATTCAAATATCATTTTCTGATGCTTTTGTAAATGATTGCTATCAGGTTAGGCCTACACTGTCACTGTCTCAGAAAACCACTAATGACGACTCCATGATGGATTCTGTTTCACATTTAATCACACTTGTCATGGAAATTCATTCATTCACATTCCCTTTTCCATTGTCACTATGAAATGTTCCAATCCATCTCCACGACAACAAAATCCACCTATATAATTTCAACTAAAAGCTAGTTTTCAGTCCCCCAGTCATAGCTGTGCCAGTAAGCCTGCTCAATGCCAAGGCTTTGAGGAATGTCATTACTTCCTTTGCAGTGAGAAGCATACAAAGGCTGGAGTGTAACCAGTATTTAATGTGTAGTTAAATCACTCGTCAGTGTAACACATTCGATAGCATTCAATATCAATACTCCGGTTCTAGTTCAGATCTTTGCAAACACACACTTTTTGATCCCATAGCTAGAGCTAGCCAACAAGTTTATTTTAGTCCCCCAACTGGTGCTACTAGATTGGAATGTAGGTACAATAACATGTATATATATACAATACAGTTATAACAGGTATTAGAGAAATATGAAAGTTAATTTCCTGAAGTTAATCCTACAATATTGTATGTCAAGAAGGAATCCTGAAATACATTTTACTGAAGGAAACAAACTTTCATATCTCCCTTTTACCTTTCCCAATATATTGTTTATAATATTGAAAAGGAAACATCTTGCAAAGAGAAATTTTAGCATTCATGAGCATCAGGTTACTGTTAATTGAAAAAAAAAAAAAAATCTATAAAGGATGATAGTTCTGCACTGATACCAAATGATGATGTAAATGGGTCTTACCTTGACTGAGTCAGTGTATGAATGTGAATAATATGAATTTGGTGTTGATTTAAATGATAAATGTCAGTCTGTATTAAACAAGATTACACTTCTGACATTTTATGACAATAACAAATGTGTCGATTTTCACCATTTTGTAAAATAAAAGATGTAAGATGTAAAACTTAGGAAACAGACATTTAAGACCAAAGTTTATTTTATTGTATATTTTCAGATGGCACAACATTGGAAAACAAACTTTGTCATTGGTGGAGATGTCTCTCAGAGATTTCTGTCGCGAGCCGTTGAAAATGTTGAAAATGTCAACAAAAAGAGAGCGGAAAAGGAAAAGTATGTTTTATTTTATTCTTGATGTCAGATTTGACTTTTTTTTATATCACAAATTTATATGTAAATATTAACATTATTTAACAAGGAATAGCATAATTATATGTAATAATTACTTCAATCCATTTTTACCAGAAGCTGCTGTAAATTTTTTAAAGTTATCAATTTCAGACTTAGAACATATTATATTCCTGATAATGGGGCCACGGTGGCCAAGTGGTTAAGGGGTCTGACATTCTGCTACCACTAGCCCTCCACCACTGGGGTTTGGAGGCCTACGTGGGGCAGTTGCCAGGTACTGGCCATAGGCCGGTGGTTTTTCTCCGGGAACTCCGGCTTTCCTCCACCACCAAAACCTGACACGTCCTTAAATGACCATGCATAGCTGTTAATAGGACGTAAAACACAAACAAACCAAATATTCTTAACCATTAGGGGTAACGATGTTCTGCCATTGTACTGAAGAGCTTCTTGTGTTTTTGATTGTAGAAAATTGGAAAAGTGATGTGAATGCCAATATGTATGATAACGATTTGTTTTTAATTTCTAGTATCCGTAACGAATAATTCATGTAAATATGGAACATATCCATGTATACAATACGAAGGTAAATTTTAGTCTTTCACAGACTTCATTCAGACATTGCTGATAACATCAACACTACAAAGAAAGGGGTATTATTATAACATCATATGTGTTTGATCAAACTCCCTGTCTCTAACTTTTAAGTGGTTCTAAAATGTTTTTCACAAATGTGCAGACATCTTATCTCCCTCCGTGTATGGATATGTAAGATGGTGTGGTACAATAAACGCCTCCGAACCTTATGGGAATGTAACGTGATAGAACCTATTCTGTATTATATATACCTTTTAATGCAAAAAATACATAGGACTGCCAATGTTTTTTTTGTAGTTCACACCTTATAGCAGGAGAAAACTCCATAACAAACCAAAATCAATCCCAGATTTTCCCCAGTGTTCCGAGTGATATAAACATAAAATTTCTTCAGAATCTGTCAGTTATGTATTTTTTGTACTCCTTTTATAGACTATAAAAATGGAGGTAGACAACAACCACTGTACAAGCATGTATTATATGTATTTATGTATTGTTCTATTTCGAGGGGGAAGGGGGGGGGGGAGAATGTAGGATTTCTGCAAGGGTAAAGTCTAGGGAAAACAATCTCACGAGGTGTTATTAGGTGTAGGTAATATTTAAATACTGTATAAGCATTGTGGCCTTCCAGAACATCCATTTACACGATGGTTTAAATTAACCCTCACTCCTAAAGACACTAACAAAATGAAATATTTAGCCAGCATACGTGTGTTAAGAACTGGTCAACTGCTGAAACAGATAAAATGTACGTGATATTTCACATTTTCACATGATTATGTCAGGAGTGCCAATTGCTTAAATATGAATTTGTCATATACTGTGAAATCAGACATTTTGTGGGGCCTAAATTTCGTGGTATCCCCAAAAAACATCGTTTTGTGGGTACATGAATTTGTAAATTAGGAGTACAAACTCATACGGAGAATTGCTTTATGTCACAACAATACCCACGAAATCAATAAAATTAAAAAACCCACAAAAATTAATGATTTCACAGTATGTATCTATATTCAGTCACACTTAAACAAGCGAGGTACATACAAATCTACCAATGCTTCTATCATTTGTCTATTGACATTTGACATCATAAAGGGATTTATTGCAAGGAATAGATATAAAGAAAATTGTGAAGAAAAAATCGAAAAAGGAATCTTAAAAAATGTTGGCAAAAGGTGATGTAGCAAATAAAATGAGGTTTATTGTTACAAAATGTAAATGATGGCATTATAATGAGGTTTTATCGTATAAATGAGGGGCGTTATGTTGCGGTTTTACTGTATATAAATAAAGGGCATCACATCTAGGTTTTAATGTATATAAATGAGGGTCATCATATCTAGGTTTTAAGGTATATAAATGAGGGGCATCATATCTAGGTTTTAAGGTATATAAATGAGGGACATCATATCTAGGTTTTAATGTATATATATATATATTTGCTGTATGTAAATGAGCTAGATGTCATTATATTGATATTTCCAAATGCAGGGATTGATGTTTCAGTGTTTAGGAACAACGGTCATACTATCAAGGTTCTACAGGGCATTTATACGATATTATGTCAGTGTTATGTCGAGTAAATCTATTCATCTCGCTTAATTTTCACCAGCTGCCTTTGTTATGATATGTCGTTTTTAAACCTCATGACTATATTAATCCCAATTTTTGCCATATGTTAAATTTGCCCTTTGTGCACAGAAAAAATAGAGCACATCATGCAAATATTTCCCTGTTTATCATTTATGCCATCAGTTGACAGCATGTCACCGTAAAATCCTTGAATCAAAATCAAGGTCACTATTCAAGGTCAAAAGCCTAGTTACATAATTTTTGCTTGTGAGGTCACAATGAACAATATTCCACTTTTATGCCAAAAGGCGAAGTAACAGTCAGGTAACATCGCTTTCTCTTTTTGAATAAGGTTTAACAAGCTTAGTTATTTTGTTACCTGTTCTGACTCTCGTTATCGACTGGCAAAAAACGACACTTTTTTTATTTGTACAGAGGCGATGTTGCAGCAGACCTCATGCACTGGGATGCAAAGAGGCTGCCTCTGAGGAATAGCTGTGTAGATGTGTTTATCACCGACCTGGTACGTATCATTATAGCACTATGCTACACTCTGTCTTTTGATCTGTGTATTGCTTACACTCCACGTCACGCAGTCAAACTACTGTCAGGTCTTGCCAACAGTAATTTGGTTTGTTTTACTATCCAGTCTGAGGGCATTAGGGGACAATTAACATGTTCTTATGCTATTCCCTACTACAAGTGTAAGACAATAGTTTTTACATTTCACAAGCAGTCACTTTTTACAGCAGGAAAAGAAATGAGATTCTATTGTATAGGATTGACAAGGACCAAGTTAGCCACTGTCATGTTGTTGTACCTCTGCTACTTCTCAAGAACTGCTATACCCAAACCCAATAATAGTAAGCATGCAGTTTCCAGGATAATGGTTATGAAAGTTCTTTAGATACAAGTATATAACTGTAAAAGATGTGCATTGATTAGGTTGCCTTACAAGCATCAGCCGTAGGGAATTTCCCTTTAGCTCAGCGATAGAGCATCGGGCTGGAGAGCCAAGGGTTGTGAGTTCAAGCGACGGCACTATCTTTATCACTATTCCTTGTCCTACTACAAACTAGTGCCGTTGACTCTATCCGTTCAATGTAGGAGAACCTCTGGCAGGGAGTCAAAGAACCTGGGTTGGTGATTGAAAAAAAGGGGGGAATAGTGTAAAAGATGTGCATTAATTAGGTTGCCTTACAAGCATCAGCAGTAGGGAATTTCCCTTTAGCTCAGCGGCAGAGCATCAGGCTGGAGAGCCAAGGGTTGTGAGTTCAAGCGACGGCACTATCTTTATCACTATTCCTCGTCCTACTACAAAAAGTACAATTTCATTAAAAGTTGTTTAAGTACAGATAAAAAGTTCTTTAGATTTAAAAAACATAACTCTGAATTGTAATGTAAAACTTATACATATTCATTTAATTCAGTTCCTTTGAAAATGTTTTTAAAAAATTGTGAGTAACAGATCAGAGGTTCTTTGTTTCATATCTAACTTATTTTTTAAGGTCTTTGTTGGTTCAAATATTGACTTTATCACAATGAAAAATGTACTTTTCAAGGGTTTTTTAAGCTCAACAAATGCCTTGAATGACATTCATCAAAAATCTCATTTAGAACAAATATTGCTAATTACATAACATGATGACTCAGTCAGAATTTTTATTTTCTTACAGCCATTCGGAGTGAGGTATGTATTATTAATTTGTAGTAATAGTTAATAGTGTTGATATGAAAAAATCTTGTGTAAAATTCTGTTACTTTTTCCTTCGTAAGAGGAGCATTACTGATCCATTCATAAGCTCTTTGTAAATACATGTTCGTAAGATCAAGGTAATAAACTGTTAAAATGAACCGATTTTTAAGAGAACCTTCAGATTACATTACAATTGTGTAAGATGTTGAGACGAGAACTTTTATAAGGAACTGATATCTATGTTACAGGATGGGATCTTTTGCCAAGAACTGGAAGCTGTATGCTGACTCTATGGAGGAAATGGCTCGAGTTTGTACCCCTAAAACAGGGCGAGTTGTACTCCTAACACAGGACCAGAAGTGTATACATAAGGTACGTCCCATCTCCAACACCAAACAAAAGAACTTTGGGGGGGGGGGGGGGGGGGGGGAGGAAACACATCAAATTTGGGTAACCTGTGATCTCATTTAATGATTTGAACTTCCGTTATAACAAAACACATATTGCTCTTCACCCTTTCACCCCTATGTACCTTTAGTAGACTCTTCCATGCATTGATATGGATCAGTCCATTATGGTCTACAGTGGTGAAAGGGTTAACCAAAGTAAATGAACGTAGAGCCACGGTAGAATTCGCCATGGTGTAGCTTCCACCCATCATCAAGCTTTTACTTCAAACGACTTCTTCTCAACAGGCCCAGGTTATGCTATATGACCAGTAGCAAGCTGTGATTACTGGCTATCAAATTTATTTGTTCAAATAAATGACCTTCACCAACTTTCAAGGTCGCAGGATCGCAAGTGTAAAAATGTCTAAACAACTTCTTTCAATAACCAAGAGGCCTATTGTGGTGATATTTGGCCAGTAACATATGCTTGCATTCAAGTTTGTTTTGATAAGTTACCTTGACCTATTTGGATCAGATATATAATAAAGATAATCAAGAAGCTTAGGGTGATGATATTTGGCAGTAGTCTTCTGTGATGAAGGGCTCTGAAGTTTTCCTACTACCAGTAACTGACTTTCATCTGTAATTAAGATCAAAGGGTTCAAATCAGTTAAACATTTAAACGACATTTCCTGAATAACCAAGAGTCAAGTAGCATGCTATGATGAACAGGTATTATGTTTATTTCAAAGAATTACCTTTATGGGTGGTCGGGTTGCGCAGTGGATAGCGCACTTGCCTTTCACCGAGGCGGCCGGGGTTCGATTCTCCGGTTGCATGGATGTGAAAAGGTATGAGGTCACCTGCCCAGCCAAGTGGAGGTTTTTTTGGTACTCCGGTTTCCTCCCACAGAAATACCCCCCGCACGCTAACATCTGGGTCAACATGAGTGATTAGTAAGTTGTAAAAACTTGTTTCATAATTGTTGTAAAACAAATAAAGTTTATATTTCAAAAAATTACCTTGACCCTTTTTCAAGGTCACATGGGTCAAATGTGTTGAATTCTTTCAACGACTTCTTCTGAATAACCAACAGACCTAGGGTAATGATATTTGGCCTCTAGCTTAATGGTGTAAAGTGGTATGAAGTGTGAGATCTGAATAAATAACCTGGACCAACTCTAAAGTCAGATAATGAAAATAAGTTTAAAATCTCCCTACAACGCTCACCAAGGTGTAGACTACCGGGTAAAAACCCACAATGTATAATGTAATGATATGTAGCCTATTTAAATGAATTTTACCTGTACTCTTTTTGGAGGTCACAGTTGTAAGATGAATGTCAAGTGAGCAATACAGTCCCATTGAGCCTCTTGTTTATGTTTTACTGTAGTTGTAAGCTTTTGTTTTTCTACTGTGCCACAATGATTTTATTGTACCATAATACTTATTGTTCTATAAACTTTATTTATTTTACAACAATGATGAAACAAGTTATGACAACTTATATTAATCACTCTTGCTGGCCTGGATGGTATCTCGTGGGGGAGGAGGGGGGGGGACTTTATGTAGGTGGAGTGCCCGGAGTAAACCCATGCGGTCAGACAGGTGATCCCATAACTTTTCGCGTCCGATCAGGGATTTAAACCCCAGCCGCCTTCATGAATGCGAATGTGTTATCCACTGCGCCACCCGACCATACTGACTGTTGTGGTTTACTGTAGATTGCTGTGATTAACTATGCTCTAGTACAGAATGTCTTTATTTCAGACCATGGCCATGTTTAGTAAGTTCTGGACAAGAAAGTCCACCATAGGCATCAACCAGGGGGGCATAGCGGCAGCAGTGTACGTCCTGGTCCGCACTGCCGAGGCATACCACAGAGGTATACAGAACACAGAAGTAGATCCGTCCACCAGCATGAGCAAAGGGGAGGAAACACAAGTGAAAACTCAGCAGGACAAATGAGGCATTGTCAACATTCTTAGAGGGAATAAACTGATTTCATCAGACGTGAATAGTAATTCCTTCATCACACATTGAGGTTTCCTTTCGCATGAAGCATTATAAGAGAAAGTGGTACAAGGTTAAATAACCAGTTTGATGCCATAGGTTATCCTAGTCTAATGTCAACATTTAGGTATATATAATTTTAGATTATGATTATAAGCTAACAAAACTTTAAAGGTTTGAGTGTTGCTTCAACTGTTATGTAGTGTGGTGAGAGTGTGAATAGAAATTGTATCAGTTTTGCTTTGTACAATAAAAGATGTCTTGTTTTGGGAAACTCTATCACCTATTTTGTTGTCTGTATCGTGTACAATCTTTTATATAAAACATTTTAGCGCTAGATGTGACATCCTCGATATCCAGGGGTTACGCTCACTTTCGCTCTCTACACCCCTAGAAAACTGAAGGCATGAAGATAGCTGTTTGGTTGGTCTCAGGTAAAGACAACCTGACCAATTGCTAGGCTGATACCAAAGGAGAGACGCCCGACTTCAAAGCCCGTTACGTGACCGTGAGATTCTTTTGATGTACGTCAAAAGAATGGAACGAGTATTCTTGCCTCATCATCAAGGAGGCGCACTCCGAACCTTCAATTTTGCGATGACATATTCCAGGGGTGCAGAGAGCAAATATGAGCGTAACCCCTGGATATCGAGGATGCAGATGTGAAGATCAGAAAAAGAAAAAGAAATTGTTTCATAAATTGAAGATTTTTTTTAGAGCTCTATAGACTTTTTACAATACAGTATGGCAGTGATCATCGTTTCTACAGGTGTTTTGGTTTGGTTTTATTTTGTTTAACGTCCTATCAACAGCTAAGGTCATTTAAGGACGGCCTCCCCTGTTTGCAAGATGCATGCGTGAAGTGTAGTGTAGGCTGCGACATGTTCATGCTTCTCTCCTTGTGATAGTGTGGAACTGATGCTGACTTTATAGTGCTACCTCACTGAAACATACTGGGGGCAGCAGGTACAATTTGTATGCCCTACCTGCAGGGGCCTACAGGTGTTTTACCATTCTAGGTAGGGAAATGATAACTGCTCATACACACTTTTGCTCCTTGTCAACTAGCATTGCAGTAATTGTGCCGGCATTATGAGGGATCATTGTGTTACATGTAAAATTAGGAAGTTTGGAGTTAACGCTACATGTTCATCTGTTTTAAAGTAGATAATAATTGACAAAGAAAAATAATCAATCACCAGTGTTACCGAGTGAAAGACAGAAACCTCAACACTCGGGATAATATTTTTATGTTAGAACTTGACCAGACTTGTTTAGACTTACAAATATTCCTCTTGGAATCTAAATCACGCATAGTAGGTGGTAGCTAGATTTGCAAAATTATGGTCATTTATGTAAACAAAGAAAGACAACTCCTCTCTCAAAGAAATCCATTGATTATCTTCACCAAAGTTGAAATTTCAATTTTTTGCTCGTACGCTTATAGGATATGGCTATCCTGTTCTTTTACCAAATTTTCCAGGTTTGAGTTTTGGTGTAAATGTTGACATTCTTTGATATAACCTCGTTCCAATTAAGATGCTGATATTTGGCATGGAAGTTCTTACACATCGTTATGCAGTGCAGACCAAAAAAGAAAGCCCTCAACTTTTTTCAATCCAAGGTGTTGTCCAAAGTATGGTTCCTTCATTCGTTTTTCTGGAATCGTCACACTTGGTATCATCAGATGTGATGCAATGCATCTATAAATATTCTTAAGTCTTGCAGCAATAACTCAGAAAAGGAATTCCTTCATCACACATTTAGGTTTCCTTTCGCATGAAGCATTATAAGAGAAAGTGGTACAAGGTTAAATAACCAGTTTGATGCCATAGGTCATCCTAGTCTAATGTCAACATTTAGGTATATATAATTTTAGATTATGATTATAAGCTAACAAAACTTTAAAAGTTTGAGGGTTACTTCAACTGTTATGTAGTGTGGTGAGAGTGTGAATAGAAATTGTGTCAGTTTTGCTTTGTACAATAAAAGATGTCTTGTTTTGGGAAACTCTATCACCTATTTTGTTGTCTTCATCGTGTACAATCTTTTTTATAAAACATTTTAGCACTAGATGTGACATCTTCGATATCCAGGAGTTACGCTCACTTTCGCTCTCTACACCCCTGGAAAATCGAAGGCATGAAGATAGCTGTTTGGTTGGTCTCGGGTAAAGACAACCTGACCAATTGCTAGGCTGATACCAAAGGAGAGATGCCCGATGGTCATTTATGTAAACAAAGAAAGACAACTCTTCCCTCAAAGAAATCCATTGATTATCTTCAACAAAGTTGAAATTTCTATTTTTTGCTCGTACATTTGAAGGATATGGCTACTGTGTTCTTTTTGCCAAATTTTCCAGGTTTGAGTTTTGGTGTAAATGTTGACATTCTTTGATATAACCTTTAGAATTCGTTCCAATTAAGATGCTGATATTTGGCATGGAAGTTCTTGAAGGCTCTAACACATCGTTATGCAGTGCAGACCAAAACAAAACAAAAACTTTTTTTCAATCCAAGGTGTTGTCCAAAGTATGGTTCCTTCATTAGTTTTTCTGGGATCGTCACACTTGGTATGCTGGTGCTGTTATATCTTAGAAAGAAAACTATTGGTCAGTTACCTACATTATTGATCTTGATTGAAAGTGTTAGCATATGAATACTGCTTGTACCGAGTGCATCTCTGGTATTATTTCACCAGGGGGTTCACACTAAGGTTTGCTTGTACAAATGTACATACGACGTGACCTACCCATCAGCTAAGTGGAACTGTCGACTTGATCCTTACCACAGGGACCTGAGAATTAGTTACAGCTATAGTTGGACCTAAACTAAGGTTTTCAGAGTAAGTTTACGCATTTTGGGGCTTTAGATTAACTTTCGTTAGTAATTTGCCACCCCCTGATGATGATATATACTGTGCCACTGTAATCCATGAATCAGTTTGATATTTGTAAACCCCTCTTAGGTAATGAATTGTACAAATACTGTTTACTGTGTAATTTTAGTGGCAGTGTTATTTTTGAGATTTCCACAGGATTCAACACTGCAGTGAAAATTTACATCTCGAGACATCATTGTCGGTAGAACAAGTTAAAGACTAAAAATCAAGAGTACTACATGTAGTTTAAAAGATTAGATTATCGGTGCTCAGCTTATAACACACTGAATGTAAATGGGAGGTCTACGCGTGCATTTATAAATGATGAATTGTGTACATGTATATAATTATGTCCACATCACTTTTTCATAAGTAAAGACTTCAAACAAATATATGTCCACAGTGTTAGGATGCTATTTCAGTGACACCATTTCACATTTTCGACCAGTCCATACCGGACTGACAAGCGGAATGGTTAATACATATCACATACTGATTTTGAACTTTGAGAAATTTGAACACAGGTAACTGAATGTATAAAAAGTATGCAAGTATTGTGACTTGTTATTTTTATTCACGAAAATAACACAATCAACTCTGAAAATATAATCCTCCGACAATAACAGTAATTTTCCAAGCTTAAGCTAATAATAAACTGTTGAAATGCAGCCTTTCTCAACATAACAGTAACACTGTACCGAACTAGTACAAACTTAGACTTTACTCAAAGTTAACCGACAGAAAGAAGTTGATTTAAAACAATCTCAATAGCTGGTACAACTGACCTAGCTGTGGGAATCAAAGCTTCTAGTCCCGATCGTTTTTATTTTTTTATTATCGGATAGGAACAAAAAATATTTTTTTAAATTAAAATGATCGGGCCTAGAAGATTACAGTTCCCATAGATTCAACTCAACATACTGCCGGTCAATATTTGAATTTGTTTTTATTATTTTTAGTTTATTCATTTTGAGCTTAATGAACTGTTTAATATAATTTAATAGTGAACATTTTAGATTCCAGAACAGGCAAGTCCTAATAATGCACATGCCACAGGAAAACGATCTTTTTTAGCCCAAACAATAGTAAACAAATCTAATGATATTTACATCATAACGAAATGAAACAAGAATCATAATTGTAATACAAGCATGACATAATCACCATTTGCAGCATTATACATATATATATATTCAGTATAATATAATGCTAACTAGGGTAGCTTAAAGGAGTATGACCTTTGACTTTGTCCTATATGACTTCCAAACCTTTATCCTGTGTAGAACTTGATGTCACTATGCTATTGTGTAGACATGTATACTATGATGACTCAGTTTGGCACATACAAATATACAAGATTTACCCTCTAAAGATGAAAAACACAACTTGTATATCATACATTTATGGGGATTTTCACATATATCCATTTTCTACATTATTCAGATGAAATCAGAAATTATGCATTTGTCTGTAGACTCGCTGACAGTTTCGGCTAATTGATAATGTGATATATCAAAACTTATTTGGAGAAAACTGTTTAAATTGAAAAGCTAACATTCATTTTGAAAAAATCACTGAACTCACAATACAGGAAAAAACTGAAATACAGTGAAATCACTGTTGACAACTCCTCTTAAGACACATTATTCATTGTCTTTTAGAAAGAGGAAAGGGAATTGGTATCTATAGTTTCTTTCCATAGCTATCTAGTAATCCTACAATAAGCCAAATGGCCCTACAATCTCAAGTTCAAAGTAATGAGATATATATGCAATTACAGGACAATGACAAATCATTTAATTGGCATTTCAGCTGGACTGCAATATGTATTGATTGTTTTCCGCTGGATTTATCATTATAAATGAAATTTAATTCTCCCGGCAGTTTCCTCAAGACTACAGTTGTCTTAAGCTTCTACAAGGTGAGATATAATATTGTCAAATGGAATGACCTGAAGTATTTCAAAAAAAATTATTTACTAACCATTTCACCACTGAAGACCATAATGGACCCGTCCATATCATTGCATGAAAGAGTCTACTTAAGTTACATAGGGGTGAAAGGGTTAAATAGATATGTCATAAAAAGAGTATTTTCACTTTAAATTCTTTCCGAAAATGAGGAATTAACAAATGTTCAAAATGGTAGTTAAGTATACAAGCAAGTACAGGATATGAAGCACTGTATAAAAATATATATGTACATTAAATATTCCCCATATAATGCAACTACATAATTAATGTACCTTACAATGTGATATGTTTTCAAACTTCATTTTACACAACCAAATTTATTTTTACCTCACTCTTTTATCTTAAATATGTTACTAGAAACATTATTAAATGTCACAAAATGTAGCACATGAGTGTTGATAGATTGTTTGTATAGGTTAACCCACAATCTGTATCCTAAATGTTTAATGTGAATGAAGTTTGTGTCATCGTTTTTTAACAGACAGAACTATCTCCCCTCTGCTGCTTTCTAATACACCGTTTGGTTCCAAAAATATATAACCCTCGGGTACCTAAAATAATATGGAAAATAAATCTTTCTCCTAACTTAATTTTTCTGTGGGTTTAGATTTTGCCAAAAAAAATCCAGATCCAATTATGATTTCATAAATTACCCGTTGAGTAAATAATACATGTTTAAAATGGATAGATCATTATCATAGATACCTCGTCATTATTTTTCCTATTGATTAATAAAAACTGATCACCAACCATTCAACATTAGCATTCAACATACCCATCAATAATCAACTATGGAGAAGTGTTTTAGTTTCTTAATTTTCTTCCCACAAGTCATAACCATTAACTTTGAATATGGTATTTGAATTCACAAATTGTTATACATTCCCTAAATTCACAAAAAAATGAATGCCATGAAAATTACCAATAACAAAATATTTAAAATATACATATGTAGCTACATCCCACAAATTTCATCCCATCTTTCACACGTTAAAACAATTGATTGCGTCTTTAGCAATAACATACTAATTTTCTCTTAAGGTTGACATTCATCAAATAGTTCATTTATTTGACTAGTTGCATTTACTTCCATCTAAATTACCTCAGCTTTCCTTTGCCCCTTAAAACACCTACCTAAGTCTACCTTGTACTATCCGTTTTCAAATAAATGACTTTACTCCACATAAAAAAGCATATAATATATCGAGAGCTTCAAGCATTACTTATTCCGCCTTTTCGTATTGCAGAGTTATCTGCTCTTGTGAGCAGGTATTGATTGTTACGTCATTTGTTTGTGAGAGTATCAATTTTTGAGAAAACGATGTCATTTTCTCACACAAACCAATGACGTAACAATCAATACCTGCTCACAAGAGAAGATAACTCTGCAATATGCAAAGACGGAATATGATAATAATTAACATTTATGTCGAGCTTCAAGTGGTACCAGAAAGCCTCATTTACAATCAAGGCACATTGAACTTTTTATTATAGTCCAATAGTGGAGCACTCTCCAAAAATGAAATACAATATAATGCAAAATTTTAATTAAGGAGCAATGTTACCTTTTATTATATAATGTTACAATTAACAGCATTCTATTAAAATACAGATATCATTATTCTATTACATTAATGATTTTCCTCGTTAAATATGTAGGTTCTTTTCCAAGGTTGCATTCATATTAATAAGGGAACTGTATTTGCCAATTTGCCTGAATTTGTTATAAGTGAAACAGTTCTTGATTTCTACTCACAGTACATTGTAGAAATTATTGATTTTAATTTTTTATGCTGTAATCAGCTCAGATATCAATGTAATTTTGCATGACAATGACATACACATAAACGTGAACATACATAATGTAAAGTGTATATGTAACAAATTAATTATCTGAACGAAAATAAAAACAATACAAAATATCCCATGGCACATGAGTGGTTTTGAGATTCTGTCCTTGTGTAGTAGTGGCGATTGCCCTGTGAGTATTCTGTCATCCTCCACTTGAGCTTGTTACCTGGACCAGGTAAACAGACTCTTACCTGTTGGGAAAAAGGAGATAATTATAGATTACCATGGAAAACTCATGCCAACAGTTTTATCCCACTTAATTTTTCCTCATTTTAATCCATTTGCTGAGCGATTTAGATTGGCTTTCCTCGTATGCTCTACTCCAGTGCATAGAGGAATTATACTATCAGAAATTAAAACATTCAGAGGAAAAGTTTAAACAAAAGTATTTATATTTTCTTTTTAATCAATTTAACATATTAGATGCACCTGGAATAATTATCAATGTCTTAAATATTTTGCTAAGGTCCTAAAAAATCAAACAAAATGCAAAACAGAAAATTAAAATAATGCAAACAAAAACATCAAAACATCAATCTGTCATGCATTTAATTATTGATGTTGAATTATATAATGCATACCAGCTATATCAAAAAGTGGTTACGTCATTCTATACTACAGGTCACAGCAGGAAGAAATCAAGCCTGAACAATCTTTGGGTTATAAATACAAATGTAATTACTACTGTACAAACTTCATATACAGCTTTTTTTTTGTCTACACCAAGTCTGTATACAAAATGGGCGATTATTTCCTGATTTCATCCACCCAAGAAAACATACTTTGAATAGGGATATAATGTTATTCAATGTAGCAAGGGATGTTCTGCGACTATTTTAGTATTTATTATACATTTTTTTGTTCATTTTAATTACCAGGTAGTTGAAACTACAAAACAGTAACTTCGTTTATTAAAAACTATTTGTAAAAATGTTCAACATTTTTTCCACAGTCACTGTAATAGATTATTTAATGATGATGGATCTATAATTCTGAAAGTGTCGGGCTAATCAGCAATATAATGCAAAAAATAACATCACCCAAGGAAGCTAAACAGAAAACAGTCTAAATATCATCTTACTCATTACTAAAGTAATTCATTTATATTCACATCAATTCAAATAATGTTAATTAATGAATGGACACTTGGTTATATGATTCTAGTCGTATTCAAATATACACATACATCTATTTATCAAATGAATACCGTGTTCTGCAGTGTCATAAAACCATCACATCAATTATGTCTATAATGTAACGTGTGTAATATCACTCAGAAAAGGACGTCGCAATGGAATAGGAACAATCAATGTGATGTCACGTCATTGTGAAGCGGACGCCATTTTCATCGTTTCAGAGGCCACCAAGTGCAAAATATTCGTTTCAGATCACAAATTATAGTTTCCTTTGTATTATATGATAAAAAGAATCCCCCTTAATTTTTCCTCATTTTAATCCATTTGCTGAGCGATTTAAATTGGCTTTCCTTGTTGGCCTGGATGGTAGCCCCCGAGGGGACTTATTATGGGAGGAAACCGGAGTACCCGGAGTGGTCGGGCAGGTCACCCTATACCTTTTCACGTACGATCGGGGAATCGAACCCCGGCTGCCTTGGTGAAAGGCAAGTGTGCTATCCAATTTCCCTTCATATAAGATTTGTGATTTTTCATATTTGCTCGCCAGAGCAATCCAAAACTTGTATCATAAATCTAATATGAAGGGAAACTTATAACAGATCCTCTATGTTTTGAATAATGTTCTCTGAATTGGTTAGAGTATTAGTAAGCATATTACTGGAAATCAAAAGCAAACACAAACCTAAACACCATGCAGCTCATATTATCACACACTTTTTCTCTTTATCCCGTGGACACCGACATCTTTCTTCCTCCGGTACCCCATCAAGTACCACTTCAATATGATTCCCACATCCTGTAACACAATTCCAACATGACACTTTAAAGTTATTTTATTACCAAAAAATATATTTAATCCCTTGCTTAAAATATTCCCTATTCTAAAATGTCCCCCTGGTACAAAATACTATCTGCTTTCCACCAAAATAGCTAGAGAGAATTTCTCTTTAGCTCATTAGGTAGATCGTAAGACTAGTATTTAACCAGCGGCCCCAGGTTACAAATTGAATCCTGGCAGAGGCATTGAACCAGTGAATTTGCTAAACCATTCCTTTATTTAAAGATCTAATTATTTTATCTGCAAGAACAACTCAAATATGTCATTTAAGGGTTATTTTGTCTGTCAGTTCCGCTACACACTAAATGCTCCCGTTTTATTTATGTTTTTAACTTTGAGTATGCAGAATCTCTCCCATGGAAATTTCGAAAAAGTTGGCAAGTTCAACTTAATGCAGTCCAGTTCAGATACATTTCTCCCTCCTTTTTCTAAGTCTTGCCCTCGTAGCTAGGTCTACACAAGTGAAGACACAAGACAACTCAGGTTCAGTATTCCCTTGACAAGCGTGAGTGTACCCAATGCTTGAAACAAGGGCAACGGTCACTGACACCTGAGTGACTGTAAAACATGCGCTTGAAAAATGCTCCCGATCGGTTAGACCGGGGTTTTAACCTGGAACCCTCCTAGCTCAGTCTCTAGACGGACGCTCTACCAAAATGAGCCACCTTGCCACACACAATCAACCAAGTCTAGTTCCGCTACACACTGAATTTGGACTTGATATCAGTGATGTGTAACTGGGTCAGGCTAGTTCCCAGTGATGCAATGACCACTGTAACACTGAAAAAAATATCTAAGGAATCATAATACTGCTTTGATTCTCCTCCGTTATTCCATAATGCAGTAAAGTTGGATGCACACTCTGCCAATATGAAATCTTGTATGAGAAATAATTACTCACACTGAACTTTGTCAGCGATAGCAACAAACCCAACACTTCAGAGACCCATCCCTCACACTAGTATCTGTTTGAAAATGGTACTTTTAGTTGAGTTTGATGAGACAGGTTTCTTGATACAGAATACACATCATTGTCACATAGGCCTAGGCCTTATCGGAATGTCGGAGTTATACTGGTAGAGTAACATGCCTTTCGCTACTGTACAGTACCGTTATACCCAGATACTGCGATAGGTGACATCAATCACACATTGTAGCATCAGCTAGACTCCGCCTCATCACATCAGCACCACATATATTGTCTTACCTGCCCAGGTAAACTTCTTACATTTCGAGCACGTCACTTTAATACACATTCTGTTTTTCAGTCTCTTTCCGAGTCGTACAATGATATAAATACCCCACGTGTATAAAAGGCGTCCTGTCTGTCACAACGAACAGGGTCTACTGTCAACCTTTGTACGGCTGCCCGTACGGGACATCACCAGTAAAAAGTTTAACAGGTTAATGTTATGCGTTTAACTTTACTAGTAAACCCGCTTCAAATTTCAACGTTTCATCTAGCCCCGCTTATTGCTAGATATATAATTGACCAACTATTCTCTGGTGCAATGAATATGATAAAAGATACAGCAATGACGTTTAACGACTCTGCTGTTATTCGGCATCCATACTTTAGTTACCGGTACAATTTCTAGACTGTCACGCACCTAAAATAGTAACGTACACAATATGTAAGCAATAAGATAATAAGAGCTCAAACGATTGATCAACTTCCGTTTGTCCTTGAAAGTTTCTGAGAATTGTTACTGACGTGACATCCTTAAAATTATGAAACAGCAGGTAGAATAATTTCAAAACTATTTTTTAGCTTGCTTGACGGATTGAGGAATTGTTTTCATCCCTTTTCAAATGTAGGAATTAACATTTTAAATAACGGAATGTGGTTTCATACCTTTTTTTCACATGGTAATTTTAAAAATAAAAATGACTTTTAATTATTGTTTCCATCCTTCCTGTTTGAATTTTAGTTTTAGTTTTCTCAAATTCTATCATCAAAAAAAATGTATAGGCTTATCTTTGTATAGGCTTATCTTTTTTTAAATGACATACATGTTAACGGGTTTTTTTCGATGAAGTGGACCAGACGCTACTCTTCCGAAACACATGGTCTTATTCCCCTTGATTTTTTAAGGTTTATGTAAATCTTTGGTAATTTTTACATAGTTTTATCGATTGTGAGTTCGATCTTCGGGTCTTATTATATAAAATATACTTAAAGATACTAAATGATATTTTCCAGCATAGGTTCCATTCTAAGAATCCTCTTCGCTGGCCCACGGAATAAGATTAAGTCCGTGGTTGGACTCATAAGTGTTATTATTATAATTATATATTTCCCTTCTGGTTGTTACACGTATTGTTCCTTTGTAGTTGTTGTAGTTTACTTCCTGTTCGTTCCAGTAGTCATCAAGCCAGTTTTTGAAGCTATTAAGTGTGTTTGCAGTTATTATGTGATCAGGCAAATTGTTCCATACTGCTGTCGTTCTTATGTAGAGTTTTTTTCCGTAGTGATGTCAGTGTGTATCTAGGGAATAATTCCATGGATTTTGTCCTTGTACCCGATCTTTCCGAGGTGTCGGACCACATCCTTATACACTGTATTGTTCCCTCATCGTATTTTCGTCTCACTGTCTTGTACACCTCTATACTATATCACCTCGTCTACGCCTGTAGCTAAGGGTTGGCAGTTCTTCAGCTTTTCTGGATGCGACAGGTTTTCTATTCCAGGTAGTTGTTTCGTTGTCTTCCTGTGTACACCTTCCAGTTGTTCTATATGTTTCATCTTGTAGGGTTTCCAAACGGCGCTAGCATATTCCAGGTGGGTTCTTACTAGTGATTTGTAAAATGGGATAAATAATTCAGAATCAAGAAACTTGATGATTATTCTTGTGTTCCAAACATCGATTTTGCTTTTTTACCTTTTAACTGATATGTTTGTCAAATGTAAGTTTTTCATCAAATGTAACTCCAAGGTATGTTCCTTCTTTTACTTTCAGCAGGGTTGTGTTATTAAGTGCATAAGTAGTGTTTTTCTTCTTTGTGCTTACCAATGTGCATGGAATTGCACTTGTCCTCGTTGAATGTGAGTAGCCAAGTCTTGCTCCTCTGAGCTAGTCTGAGTAGGGTTTCTTGTTTTTTGTATCATCTTCAAAGAGGTATACAGTTGAATCGACTATTTCCGGCAAGTCGTATTTACATATAACAAGCAAGAGTGGTCCTAAGTCTGGACCCTGAGGTATGCCAGATGTTACTTTGTCCCAAACAGATGTTTCGCCATTAATGACTATTCATCGGCCTATTGTGAGGGACTGTGTCAAAAGTCTTTTTAAAGTTCAAGTATAAACATTCTATATCCAGGGCACGATTTAGGGCTTCTGTCCATTCTTCTAAAACATTGAAGAGCTGTACGTATTGATTGATGTATTCAAAGATCATATCCGCATACAAAATGAGCATCGTTTGAGGTTATAGAAAAAAAAATCAATAATACGTAAATTACAATTGAAAAAATAATAATATGGAACTATGCTGTCAAGAGGAGTGACCGTTTCAAAACTCTTTAGTACACGAAAGTCCTTTCGCCCTTTATCGAAACACGTAGGACGATATGACTTAAATCACGGTCTCCTACCGCATTGTATAAAGCTCTTCTATACCTCGGTACCCTCAATTGTATAAGGTTTTATAATGTGTATAAACACCGGATAAAAAGTGCTGCTGTTATTTACTGCTGTGTATAGGTTTATTATTAACCGAAAGTATCCCGAAACAGAGCCTATGTAGACATTCCCGCGTTAGCCGTTACCGCCGACTTACTCGCCGATGGTCGAATCGAGAAGCACCTTATACGGTTGCCTTCTAGCCTTGAGCTAGAGGGAAATGTTTTTTTTTTTATAATTATACATCAACATCATCATCAACATCAATGTAAAATCATCGTTATTAATGCCTCTTCATCTTCATCATCATCACATCATCATCATCATTATCATATCAATCCATCATCATCATCATTAACATCAATGTAAAATCATTATTATCAATGCCTCTTCATCATCATCATCAGCAGCAGCAGCAGCAGCAGCAGCATCAGATGCATCATCTTCATCATTCTTATCAGATGCATCCTCAATAATCATCAATACACCAATCATGCTCATCGTCAATAACTCTTCATCACCATTAATGCAAAATCATAATTTTTCATACATCATCATCATCATCATTATCATATCAATCCATCATCATCCTCAACATCAATATAAAATCATCGTTATTAATGCCTCTTCATCTTCATCACATCATCATCAATATCATATAAATCCATCATCATCATCATCAACATCAATGTAAAATCATTATTATCAATGCCTCTTCATCTTCATCATCACATCATTATCATCATTATCATATCAATCCATCATCATCATCAACATCAATATAAAATCATCGTTATTAATGCCTCTTCATCTTCATCATCACATCATCATCATCATTATCATATAAATCCATCATCATCATCATCATCATCAACATCAATGTAAAATCATCGTTATTAATGCCTCTTCATCTTCATCATCACATCATCATCATTATCATATCAATCCATCATCATCATCAACATCAATGTAAAATCATTATTATCAATGCCTCTTCATGCTGTATTCTTATGTAGCTGTTTTTACTATTGTTAATATAGTTCTGAACAAGGAAATGGTCTTTAATGCCATTCATAAGTGCATTGATACTCAAAGGTTTGCGAAGACATCTAGTCTTATATATATATAATATTTGGTAAGAATTAAAATGTCATTATTAACAGTATTCACTTGTGGTAATAACATTCCAAAAAGAAATGATTCCTTATTTATTAAAACAAGCATTAGAAGAATGTCACAAAGAGTTTCAAGTCTCTATAGTAGTCCCTGCACTTCTTGACATTCCCATAAACAATGAACTATAGTTTCTCTTTCCATATTACACAGAGTACATAAGGGACTAGGAGTTAAATTTGCTTTGAAAAGAAAAGTGTTAATGACAAGAATATGGTGTACAATTCTAACTTGAAACTACTGCAGTTTTGATTTTGTTTGTAACAGTAAATTATGTTCTGTCACGTATCAATATCAAACTCAAAGTAAAAACTCCTCATTCCATTTCTTCACCCCAGTAGGTGTTGATGCTGGTGTAATTATGTAGTTATAGAAGTCTTTATATTCTTTTTTTATTCTTGAAGTATATTTCAAAAAGAAGAGGTATAAAAGGTTGGGATGGTCTTTCTATCTGAAAATCATATTTCCTAAGAAAACGCTTGGCTGATGAGACCAGTCAAATTATTAGGGTTTTTAACCAGGTCATTCACTGTTAGTACAGATGTCTTAAACCAGTTTGGATAAAAAAAACAATTATTTCCTACTCGTTGTATATCTTTGTTATACCAGAGTGGAGTTTTTAAGACAGAATATTGTCTAACTTCCCTCATAGAACCAGAAATATTCAGTCTAACCCAAGCTTTGAAAACATCCCTCCAAAAAATACGTTGGCAGTTAGATCCACATGTACGAATGTATTTCTTTACCACAATTGTGCAATTTTTTTTACATCTATAATCAAATTTAAAAGCAAATTCCATTTTCCTGATGACTTAAGTACTCTTCTTACCCAACCTAGCTTCAGGGAATCTATAAAAGCATGTACGACAACGTCAACCATTTTCAACCCTCCATCTATATAATTTTGAATTACTACATCTTTTTATTTTATGAGGTTTGCCATTCCACAAGAAATCAAATAATAAGGAATTCAGCTAGAGGGAGTTATCCTTTCAGTCAGTGGTACAGCGTCCGAATAGGAATCTTGAGATCGAGGGTTCGATCCCCGGTGGAAGCACACTATTCTCTTTCCTGTTACACCACTTACACTCCGTGAGTAAAGATTTTTCTTTACACATAATCTCTAAACATCGATCAACTTGTCATTATTTTGTATGGTCATTAAACAACCATAATTAGTTTAAATGACATTATAACTATGATTTGTAGCAAATATGTCTTTTACTTTTTTAATTTTCATTGTCTGTTAACAAGAACTAGAAATACAATAAGCTGTTTAGAGAGTAGATACACTTTACGTAAACATGGACCATGTGGGTTTTGCGGGAAAATCAGCGACTTCGAAAATCTAGTGTTTGTTAGCTAATCTACTAAAAGTAAGTATATTTAGCACTATGTAAGTGTTTTATTGAAACGTTTGATGATGTGTGTACCCCTGTTTTAGCATGATTGTCGACACTTATTCTAAAAGCGGGGTCCGAACAAACACCACCAGCTGATCAGTTCAGATCCTTGTGTAAGCACAGGTACTGGCCTCGTCTGTCAATACACCCTTAATAAAAAATGTTTATATCATGGGTGTATTGACAGACGAGGCTAGTGCAAGTGGTCTAAACATATTTTAGCCAATTGAAGGTTATCGCTGATGTAGAGGACCTGTAGTATCTTCTCTTACATTTTTCTTCCACACAAAGTTGGACGCCTACATGCCATACAGCTAGTGCAATTAACTCGCCAAATAACTGATGAATCAGAAAGTGTCACCTGCGATTTCTGAAAACAGGATGAACGTTAACGTTGAAACTGCAGGACTATATGTGGTATATGTGATTATTATATATAATTATGAAAAGCAGCGAAGGTAATGGGAATTGCCCTGAACTTCGTTCATCATCCATCCTGGATCTGGAAAAGGAGAAATACTGGTGGCTCATTTTCCTTGTTCACCTCTCCCTGCCTATGAGATGATGAGCATCCATCAATATTTACCTTGTTCTAGAGATTCCCATCCTACAATACAGTTGATCATGGCTATATACATATACTTGATTCTTTGTGAAGTAGTGTGGCAGGTTTAGATTATAGCACATAATATAATATTATAGTTACCTTCTGTATATTCGTGCTAGAGGAAGTTTCCCTTAAATAGCTCAGTTGGAAGTACGTACTAGTGTGACAGACTGAGGGAAGCTTGCATGGGAACGCTGATGTACTCCATAATCTTGCACACTATCAGGAACTTAGCAACTGAACTGGCTTATCCATTCAGAACTGTCTCCACAGTCATCTGGCATGTTCTCAGTTCCACTGTCTAGTGATTAGAGCTGAAAGAACCTGGTAAGATACATGAAGTAATCTCTAATGCTGTCTGTTTGAGAATGAAAGCCAGTACCCCATCAGGTCGATCTGAAAGCTTCAAAGGGACACCAGCTCTACTCTTTCAAACAGCTTTTGGACTCCAGCAGTGTAGAGTTTTATACTTTTCATGCAATGATGTGCTGATGATCAATTATTATAGAAAATCAATCGATTTGCCCTTTCCGATTTCGATTATCGATTACAAATTTTGTAATCGATATATATAATCGGTTCATCATTGAAATCAAAGTATTTAAATGTCTTCCATGTAAAGTTTGTATGCTTTGAAAGTCATATATTGTTATGATTTGTACTAGAATATGGTGGATAAAAATGCATAAAGGTTGCTTGATATCCATTCATATTAATTAACGAACCAGAATGTAAAGTGAACCACTCCGTCTATTTGGGTATTCAGTGCCAAAAAAATTATAAAACTGATTATGCAATCGATCATCGATCAGTTTACAACTTCCGATTACAAATCGCTTATGATTTTAACCGATTGCCCATCACTATTTTCATGGAAGGGACTAGTACTGGGATCTTTGTCAGCATTGTGTTGGGTTTTACTCTTCACAATAGTTGAGATAATTAATCAATGTCCAATCGGTGATGGCTATCCGAGTCAGGAGACATCATACCAGTAAGTGACACAAATAATTATGTACATTTTTTTCTTTCAGGAAATACAAAAGACTTCAATTTTGGTCGGAGAGTTATGAAATGGCACCAAAGAGAAAGGCATCTGCTGTTAAAGAACAAGTAAATGTAACAGAAAGTGATGTTGATGTGAAAAGGAAACGACAATGTAGAAGTAGACCTAATACCTCAGTCACTAAACAGAAGGAAGAGCAAACAGAAAAGGCTGTTGGTAGAGGGAGAGTCACTAAACAAAAGGAAGAGCATACAGAAAAGGTTGTAGTTAGAAGGAGAGTCACTAAACAGAAGGAAGAGCAAACAGAAAAGGCTGTTGGTAGAGAGAGGGGTTCGAGGTCTCAAGGAAGACAGGAGAAACTTGAAGGAAACAATTCTGTTTTGACTGAAGATAATCAGGATGGGTCACATCCTAAAACTTTTGATAAAGGTAACAAAAGCACAAAAACTCAAGTTAAAAATGAAAAATTGAAGCAGCCAAACAAAGGGAAGAGAAAACATGTTGGTAATATAAATGATCATGAAAATTTAGAAGAACCTGAACCATTTAATTGCAAAGTTGAAGAAAATCAGAACAATGTATTTAATGAGCTAGAATCAGGGAAGGTATTGAACAAGTTCAAAGATGAAGTTTCTGATAAAGATTATATCAATCCTTTAGTGTGTATCAGTGGAGAAGCTAACAATGTATCAGGATTTGATATTGACTACATGAGTTCCTTCAGTAGTGATGACAGTGAATCTGAAGAAGATGACAAAAAGTTGTCATTCCCTTCGACCAACTTTGAAAAAAGTTCAATTAGCAAGGACAATATCGTAAACAAAACCTCAGAAAAATCAGTGAAAAATGAGAAAACCTTTACCAGTAATCGAAAACAACCTGAAGTGTTGCATGTATCAGATGAGGATGATCAAAGATTGTCCTCAGAGGATGACTTTGAGACATCCCAGATTGGGACATCGGACAGGAAAAGGAAGGCAAAGGGAAACACAAGTGGAAGAGTAAATAAAGAAAAGAAAACGAAACCTAACAAAACAAAGCATGGGAAACAAGAAGAACCATCTGAAAAAAACGCAAAGAAAGGAACTAAACCAAAACCAAAAAAGGAAAGTAATAAAACCATATCAAAACGAAAGAAGTCAAATTTAGACAATTCAACAGTGAAAACACATACAAACAGTAGTAAGGTAAAAGAAGAAACTGTTCAGGTCAGAAAAAATCCGTTGAAACATTTGGATGAGTCTGATGTGGCTTCCGTGTTGATTTTGATGGAAGGAAAAAAGAAGGGGGATAACTCTGATGCAGGTCCTTCAGGGTTTGGGACTGTTGATAGGTCAGATGAAGAGAGTGATCCTAGTATGATAGAGAGCAGTGATGAGGATGAAGAAGGAGACTGGGAGGATGTCCAAGGTAACCATCTCTGTCAGTCCCACTTTACCTGCACATTCTTATATGTCAACAATAAAATTCCAAAAAATCGAAGAAAATGATCATCAACTCATCCAATCAAAGGATTACTTGTTGTGTAAAAGTCATTTTAAGTTGAGAAAACATTAATTTACAAAGTGTTGCATGTTACATCATAAACAGTTAAATAAAAAAAATCATAATCTCACTACATAGTCCATCACTGTTTGTAAAGTGTACGCTTAACAAAATTGTTCACCAGGATGAAAAATAGTTTTAAAATATTTGTGTTCACAGTCTTGAAGTGTTGCTTTCAAGACACTCAGTATTTTAGATAGATCCTAGAAAATTGGTGACAACATAAACATTGCCAAATGAAGATCTTTATTTTTTGTGTACCTGTATACAATGCAATCGTGTAATTATCGTTCTGCAGATGACTTGTCCCAGCGTTCCCCCAAGAAAAACCAGCTGCCAGAAGGAGGGGTAGAAATCACAATAGACGCTCCTCAACTTTATAGGAAGAGGTAGATTTGTATATAGATTTGTCAAATATAATAACATTTGATCTAGTATATAATTAATAAAATGTTGCTGGACCCACACCTTGGATGTATCTGGTATATATAATTATAGGAGTTTCACTGGACCTACATGGATGAGTATATTATTAAAGTTCCACTGGACTTGTATTGGATTTCGTACCCTGGGACACTGTATGTCTTACAATGTATCAAGCCCCTGTGAAACATTGTTACAAGTCAGTAATTTCTTCAAGTATTAATGCTGTTTATCATCGTTGCTTATGATCATAACATTTTTCGCTAGGTCTTCATTTAGAAATGTACTAGTTTTGAACATACAATTGAGTTAGTTTTTTGTACTTGTGCTGTTCATAGGAAGAAGAAGCAGTTTGACTGGAAGCAATATGTGCAGCGTCAGATCAACAGATTTCAGAAGGGAGTACGGGAGGATATTCACAAGGTAAGAATTCAGGAGGATATATATTCCTAATTTAGAAGATTACACATTATCATGACTAAATTCTGGATTAACTCATTCGACCCTGAAGACACATTTCATTTTTGAACCCGAATGAGTTAAGTCATAGATTTCTGTGTCAGATAATGCCATATATATTATTTATATATAGTCTAGATCTACATACATGTGTATACACTGTCTTCCTGATTGACATACCAGGTAATTTTGTCCACTCAGGGTAAGTTTCAGGCAAGATTTATTGGATACTGTACATGTATGTTAGAGGTGAATTTAAAACTGACCAAAAACAGATCACCCTTTTTTTTAAATGACATATAATTGATACCAACTGTATTTGGAAAACAATTCAGTTAGTACAATAAAAATGTATTCTCCTTTTCAAAATTTTATCTGGTAGATCAGTAATTCTGTTAAGTTTTGATTGTAAAAAAAGTTGTAAAGAAGTTTTTCATGAACAAAAACTCTTGACTTGTACTTATGATTGAGCCAGATGTTGAGCGTTCACCCAGGTGAGGAAGGCAATGGGTTCTGTCCCCTGGTCGGGACATACCAAAGTCCTTAAAACTGGTAGTTGTTATTCCCTGCTTAATGTACACGTTCAGCATTAAGGGTAACGACAACAACTGGCTCACCCGTTGTCAGTATAATGTGACCGGGTGGAATGCTGTGCTGGGTGCCTTGGACATGGTGTTTCAGTGAGATAACACTATAAAGTCGGCATCAGATCTGCACTATTACAAGGATGCAAGTACACCCATACACCCTGTCTCCAGCATACATACACACCTGCACACTTGTAAACACAACACACATGGAGGCACGTCCTTAAATAACCTTAGCTGTTAATATGACGTTAAACAAATAAAACCAAACTTATGATTGACACTAGACATAAAAAATAAAATCAACCATTTGACTATTTGATGATATCTTGAACTATTGTTTGACTCTGACCTTGAACTTGGAAGGTTCACCTGATGTGCCTGCTGGTAAGAGGTATGTACCTGAGCCGGGTGTGTAACTATCCTCAACTGACGGCCCAGGCGATTTCCATCACCCCAGACGAGTTCAGCAGCCGGCGCCCTGATAGCATCACCATGGCAACACTCTCTAGATTGGTCAAGTGGTTCAAGTCAGTGATCCGTATCGCAGAAGGGCAGTCTGAAGAAAACCAAATGGTAAACATTTTGGGGGAACTATTATGCCTCTGTTTAGAATCTCAATCCCATTGGTTTTTGCATGTCACATTTTGATGTAATGAATTCCTATGTCCTGTCAGTAGTAAGTATGAGTTCATTGTTGATGAAAGAGTCCTCTCTTACCGTGAAGGTGTTAGAGGAATATAAACCTGAGTGGAAACTTGAATGTTCTTGAATGTCTTTATAAATAGACTAACCTAAGGATTTCTTAAGCTGATGAGAGGTTAAACATTCTGGAACCTCACCCTGAGTCAGAGTTGACCATACACAGTTATTTATGTTTAGCCTAATGAGCACCATGGATGGCAAGAAATTTGGGAAAGTTTTGAATGGTTCCAAAAAACTAAAACACCTACTTGACACTTTTTCAAATAAGTTGGTGAATTATGGTGATGAGATAATATAAGACGCTCATATAAAAAAGGATAACTGGGTGCTTATTACAGATTGGACATTAATAAGATAAAATATTGTAACCTGTCATCTGAATTAAAATCTCCTACAGTGAAAATCCTGTCATATATAATCTGTTGCTTCATTTATAGCAATTACAAATATTATGGATTTTGTTTGAGTTTTAGATTTGGTAACATATGATTTGTACTCAGACTTGTTGTATGTCTCTTTTTTGTTTATAAGACATACATGTAACTCTAATACGTATTTCAGAAGTGTGTATTACAAAGGGACTTTGAAGAGAAGAGAGCAAACAATATACTGGAGTTAGTGTTGGTAAGTATGATTTAATGCTTTTTTGTTTGTGTTTTATGTGTTATTTACAGCTATGGTCATTTAAGGACGTGATGGAGGATTGCCGAATCAGAATTCAACGAAAACTTGAGAGAAAGCTCACTGAATACCTGTATAGAGAAACTGCTTTCGTCCCTTTAAAATTGAAACTACTCACTCCACACCAGAAAAACTAGAAAAATTGATTGATAAGATTGCTTCAAATACCGTAGAACACTTTCCTTCCTGGTTTGAAACATTTTTTTAGATCGTTTCGTGGATATCCTATATTAAAAAACAGTAGACACGTATATCATTCAAATTCGTTGTATTTATTTTCCTGGTTCAATAGCAACCACGAAAACCTTGAATGTTTATTCCGTCTTTGCGTATTGCAGAGTTATCTTCTCTTGGGAGCAGGTATTGATTGTTACGTCACTTGTTTGTGAGAGTAACGTCATCAATTTTTGAGAAAACAATGTAATTTTCTCACACAAACCAATGAAGTAACAATCAATACCTACTCCCAACAGAAGATAACTCTGCAATACGCAAAGACGGAATACACAACGAACGGTATACAGTAACAAAAAAGAAAATAGTAAAAATATTCAGTTAACACTAGATAAGCTTTTCATAATTGAATACTTTAAAATTTTCAATTTGTTGCCTTGAAAATTGCTTGCAGGTTTCTATACAATACTTGTTTGTCATCCATTACAACATAACGCAAGATTACCTCTTTCATCATCTTCAACTATAGTACTGTTTGTGTAAATGTTAGAGAGTGAAGTTATTGTTATGAACATTTACATTTACATTTAATTTTACAGTTGTTCATCGTTCTGCTTCGAAGTATGGGTCTGGATGTCCGTCTCGTGATGTCACTTCAGCCAATGTCCTCAAAACCATCAAAGGTATCAAAATTTGAAAAATCAAAAACTTAGGTAACATTGGTTATACAAGTGTTTAAACGAAACAAAAGTTCATTTCTTGACTTTTCTTTTATAATTAAAATGTTGTGAATCCAGTGTCATTAGGTTAATGGCCCACTGCAGTCAAATTTGAATTCTTGATATTTTTATAAAACTCATATTACTGAATGAAAATAAGTTATACTTCAAATGATATGCACACACATAGAAATGTACTTATCTTTTGGAGACTATTTTTCAGAGAAATTAATTTCAAATTTGACTAATTATCTCCCTAAATCGGAAATTACATCTGGATCTTGGTCCCTTTAATGTTTTACTGAACTTAAAGATCACTGTACCACTGCCAAAAAATGAAACTATACATTTGAAACTTCCTTTTCCAAAATGACTATGGTTTTGATAAATCAGTTTCGTAAAGTAAAGTATAGCTTGCAGTACCTTGATGAAAACATAATGGAGATGAAATAAACAGATTATCATCAACAAACGTATTCTTAGAGTAAAACATTATGCTTGGCCAGATGGGATTCGAACCCTGGACTTAAGGTAGCAGAGTACAGTAGAGGGTTGTGGCCATGGGTGATATTTTTGTTAAATGGCTAACCCCTGTATAATGATATGTAAAAAAAAATTAAAAATAAAACTGTACTAAAATTGGTATAAGCATGATGAAGTGGGCTATGTGAGCTTCACATTTGTAAAAAAGAAAGAAGATTTCTTTGGTTCGAGAATAAAATTTTGGCCATAATACGAAAGGGTGCGTACACATGAAAAGCTAGCTTTACAGGAGGTAAAAATTTGACAACAGCACACGACGCAAAATTGCAAAAAATCAAGTTCTACAATTTTACTGCGACCCAGATAATTCTGCAACCAGGTAGGTAATCTTTAATTTCAGACAGAGCTTAGGAAAAAAATTACTACTTGCGGGGGTCAAATTTTGGGTTAAAAATAGCATTTTTTGGCATTTTTTGGTAATTTTTGATGTGGTAACCATGGTTTTCACACAAGTGACATACATAGAAAAAAGAGGTTTATACACTTCTCAGTGCTTTATATGTATTGTAAATGTAATGCAGTTTACAAATATATATACATGTATACATGTGTTGTGTAGGGTAAAACCGCTGTGTTTACATTTCCTCGACATGTGCCTTGTTTATCAGAGTCGGGCCATTTCTACTGTATTCTGCTACCATATACACATAGAACTTGATTTTTTCTGAAAAAATCCCTTTTTATGCTTGATTCAGCTTCACTTTCATTCATTAATACTTAAAACTACTCAAAAACGCCAAAAAACCCGTTACATAGATTGGTCTATATATAGGTCATTAGCCTGTTACCTGTGGATGTATAAAGAGAGGTAACTCGCGCTTTCACAGGCACTTGTGAAATTCTGCAATTCATCACATATGTGTCAATTATGTTATTGGTAAAGTTGATACCAAACATCAAATAGTTCACAGGCTATCTCCTGATGCATTCATACTAGATTTCAGTCTGTTTCACTCAGTTCAGCACCCGGTAGCCATGGTTACTAATACATAAAGTTGTATTTATTGAAAATGGGTAAAAATGGGTAAAATATCTGTTTTCATTTTAATTACACTATTTTAGATGTTTTTTTCCACTTGATTCAGCATACAGATGAAATAAGCAAAGTCAGTAATGTCAATAAATTTTATTTCCATAATTACAGCTGAAGAAAATCTTTTTTTTCTAGCGAAATATGTTAAATGAACAATTTCTGAGGGTCACTGTCAATTCTAGGCGAGGAAAGTAAATAACGGTTGCTATGGTGGCACTTGTCTGATTTCTCAGAATATCTTACATTTCTGTGCTGTTCATCGGTTACGGGAAGTGTGTCTGTTGCTAGTTTGTTGTTGAGATGGGTTTCCTAGTGTTCAATATTTTGATATCAGTGATCCTCGATGATGTCATAGATGCCCATTGATGACGTCATAGTTATGATGACATCACAGTTACTATGACGTCATCAAACAAGACAGTAACATCATAGTATCACTGTACTGTTTGTTTTCTACATGCACATGATCTCAAGGCATCATATTTCACCCAAAAAGAAATTTTATTCATGAAAACTACAAACCTATTCAAGTTTTCATTTTTCAGATTACCTCCCTTTGTTGGTAGTTTGAGAGCAGAATTGGTAAATACACTTTTCAGGAGAATTCATATTACTCGGTCACTATTAAAGTGAGAAAGGAAACGGATACATCATTGTGTTCATTGTCGCATTTTCCAGACATTTAAAAGGTTTTGATTAAATTTTGGGGAAAAAAAAGTGATGTATAAGGTAGCAGAGTACAGTAGAGGGTTGTGGCCATGGGTGATATTTTTGTTAAATGGCTAACCCCTGTATAATGATATGTAAAAAAAAATTAAAAATAAAACTGTACTAAAATTGGTATAAGCATGATGAAGTGGGCTATGTGAGCTTCACATTTGTAAAAAAGAAAGAAGATTTCTTTGGTTCGAGAATAAAATTTTGGCCATAATACGAAAGGGTGCGTACACATGAAAAGCTAGCTTTACAGGAGGTAAAAATTTGACAACANTGTTTGACTATTGCTGAATTTCACCAATTGAGTTACCTGGACCACGGAAGTGTACGAGCCCAAATGTGCTACAGTTTTATCCAAATAGAAGTTAAGGGGAGGTTACTGTATATATAGAAAAAATGGCAGCGCAGTGGGACAGGGATCCTAAATATATTTTCATGAGCAACTATCAATTTTTGCTAGTAAACTCTCTATACAAAAATAGGGAAAAGTTCTCAAAAGTCTTGTGATCATGTTTGAACGTAACTTTGAAAAGAAATTCTTTATTTTTTCTATTTTTTCTGTATTTTTATTTACCATCAGGAGGATGCATCATCAAAGTCAAAGCAGAAAAAATCACTGCCAAATGGTAGAAATTCAAAGGCTTCTAAACCTGCTAAACAATCTACGAAGTCCAAGCAAAAGGGAGCACAACATGATGAAGATAGTTGTTCCCCAACTAAAAAAGTACAACCAAAGAAAAAGAAAAAAGAAGCAAAAGGCAAATCATCCAAATTTTTCAAAAACTCAGATAGTGAGATGGAAGTTGTTAAATTGGCAGGTAGGAATAAATCTAAGAAAACAAAGGAACAGAAATGTGATTCAGAAGATGTAGAAGAAAAATACAAAGTGAAAAATAAAAGTTTGAGAGAACGTGGTTCAAAGGTCAAACCTTCAAGTTACAAGCAAGAGAATGATATTGATGATGAGGAGGAGAAGGAGGATGGGGATTCTGATGAAAGTTTTATGTCAGTCAGTGACACAGAGGTTTGTGATTCAGCAAGGCAGAAGAGCAAAAGGAATAGCAAGCAAACTCAGAAAAGTAGAAAAAGAAAGGTCTCCCCAGACGTGAAGGCACCAGAATCTCAGAGCAGTGAAAATGAAAGGTATATTAGATAGCTTTCCTTACTGTTAATACAAGTTTAAGGTTTACTGGGCAAAAAATAATACTTCCTGTATTTTGGCTTAAATTTTCAACCATATTCAAGATCAGTGGAAAGTTCCGATCATGAAGTTCACAGCTACAGATCTACACACAGTACAAGTGATGGGAAAATTGGCCTGTCTATGCCTTCCTGACTTTAAGTTGTCCAATAAATTTCATAAAACTTCACATTACTGACATCAATCTCTTATTAAAGACCATTGTAACTAATAATGAATCTAACTTAATTAGCGAACAATTGTGGCAGTTTCTGTAACGACTGCATACCAGACCAGACTAAACAGTGTGACATTTTCTATTTCAAACAGTGGTTTGAACCAGACCAGACTAAACAGTGTGACATTTTCTATTTCAAAAAGTGGTTTGAACCAGACCAGACTAAACAGTGTGACATTTTCTATTTCAAACAGTGATTTTGAACCAGACCAGACTCAATTTCGTAGTCCTCTAAGAACCAAGAAACCTTTGAAAAACAACAGGAAGGTTTTGTCCTCCGATTCTGATGACTCTAGTAGTACAGCTAGAGAAGGTAAGACTTCTGTCCTGTTATCATGTGTTAACTCTGTAAAGGGCCATTCCTGTTATCATGTGTTGACTCTGTAAAGGCCCATTCCTGTTATCATGCATTGACTCTGTAAAGGGCCATTCCTGTTATCATGTGTTAACTCCGTAAAGGGCCATTCCTGTTATCATGTGTTAACTCTGTAACTGGCCATTCCTGTTATCATTTGTTAACCCTGTAAAGGGCCATTCCTGTTATCATGTGTTAACTCTGTAAAGGGCCATTCCTGTTATCATGTGTTAACTCTGTAAAGGGCCATTCCTGTTATCATGCGTTGACTCTGTAAAGGGCCATTCCTGTTATCATGTGTTAACTCCGTAAAGGGCGATTCCTGTTATCATGTGTTAACTCCGTAAAGGTCCATTCCTGTTATCATGTGTTAACTCTGTAAAGGGCCATTCCTGTTATCATGTGTTCACTCTGTAAAGGGCCATTCCTGTTTTCATGTGTTAACTCTGTAACTGGCCATTCCTGTTATCATGTGTTAACCCCGTAAAGGGCCATTCCTGTTATCATGTGTTCACTCTGTAAAGGGCCATTCCTGTTATCATGTGTTAACTCTGTAAAGGCCATTCCTGTTATGGATTTAATGGTATTGTCATGTTATCATGTGTTAACTCTGTAAAGGGCCATTCCTGTTATGGATATATAAATATTGGGGTACACACATTTTTCCTGCATCCTCATTGGCTAGATCATAATCATGTGGAGGTTGGTATTTTATGATTGACAAGGTCAGACTATTTTCAGGAACAGCAGGTCAATATTCATAGTAAGACGTCATTTCAATTGTGACGTCACAACGCTTTCTGCCAAAATACAGTATTTTCCTCTGTATTATTTTCATACATTCCATCATTTTATCGATTAAAACATTATTTATCATCTAATAGAACAATTAAAGACTTTTATTTTGATGAATATGTGCATGGTTAAATGTCCCTGAGAAATTGATATTGACCTCGTCTTTGTCTCTGTTAATATCATATTCTCAGGGTCTATATAACCACATATTCACCTCAAGAAAAGTCTAAATTGATAAATACATGGGTGATGGTGAGGTTTGAAATAACTGATAACATTAATTTGTAAGTGGGCACAAAGGAAAAAGACATTCTTAATTCAAAATGTATTAGGAGTCATATAGTTCCTCCCCTTTTACAATTATCCTGTGTATCATTGATATCCTTTTTTCCCTGTTATTATACTCAGATGTAGAATCTCATTCAGAGTGTGAGAACACTGTGTAAATATATGAGGAAAATACTTATATAACATATGCTTCTATTCCTAAAGTTCATATGGGAATTTAAGTTGAAGCCATGTCCACTGGTCCATGGCGCATCAATGATAAAACAATAAATAAATAACATTGTTTGCTGTTTGTTAGATTAACATGTTGTACTTCTGTTGCAGGCTGTGACCAGTGGGCCGAGGTTTACCTGGAGACAGAGCACAAGTGGATATGTATGTGTAAATGACAGTATAACTTAAAACTAAATGAACAATCTAATTTCTTATCATTGGTAATTATGTAATTAATACTTTATCATTGACAGAAACAGACCTAGAGAGTAAGGTTAGCTCGATAGTATGAGACTAGTGAAATCTCCAGATGGACTATAGTGGTTCTACAAACCACCAGCCCAATTGACAAGTCAAAATTTGATATTACTTATCTTGTTGAACAATATTTGGTTTGTGGAAGTTGCACATGGACTAGTAAAATTGGAATCTACTGATCCAACTGACTAGTGGTTGTTAAAATTAATTTCACGCCCGGAAAGATAGTTCAGTGTCCCATGTTCAGTGTTCCTTATTTTATTTCCAGGTGTGAATTTTGTCAAAGGAGAACTCAATGCACCATACGCAATAGAAAGTCATGCATCTCAACCTGTCCATTATGTCATGGCATATAGCAATAGTGAGTACATTATAGATATAATGAAATATAAATATAAATATTTTGAAATGTACATGAGCTCCTGTTCTCAACATGTTTACTGTCTACAGCTCCTCCTATATTTTGCCCGACTGTTGACAGAGGGTTACACAAAGGACGTGACGGCCAGATATGCTGCCAGCTGGCTGACTGACACACGTAAACTTAGAGCAGACCCAGATTGGATAGAGGAGACATTCGCACCTTACGTAGACCCTGATACAGATGCTGGAGAACGGGAGGACACAGCCATTAAGGGTAAGTAGTTATCAAATCAAGGTCATTACAAATTGATGTTCCTATCAGAAAAACAGTCTCATTGACAGTGCACTCCACTAAAATGGTAAAACTGAAACATTAGACTGCTGTTACTGATATCTCAGCATACATACTGTAAAATCACTTCTTTTACGTGGAGTTTGTAACTTCGTTGATTTTTTGAGTAATCTTCATCCACAAATTCTTAGGTCCACAAAGACTTTACAAGTTTGACCATAAGTTAAGTGTGTAGCCATGTCTTTAAAATCTTTTACAACATAAAACACTTTATTACCTCCCTTAGATAACCTAATCAGACGTCCAATGCCGACAAGTGTTGGGGCCTTTAAAGGACATCCTTTGTAAGTACATGAGCTTATACCATTTCTTTTTTCCAGTATTACTACATTTGTATATAATTTGTGTTGTTATGCAGAATAATGGACAAAATCTCAGGTACTCCCTTCACTGTTGTCTAATAAACTGGACAAAATCTCGGGTACTCCCTTCACTGTTGTCTAATAAACTGGACAAAATCTTGGGTACTCCCTTCACTGTTGTCTTATATCTAGTAGACAAAATTTTGGATACTCCCTTCCCTGTTGTCCATTATACAAGAAAAGATTTTGGATACTCCCTTCCCCGTTGTCTTGTATACAGGGCATAGTATTTTGTAACTGATCTGGGTTTTCATGCCCCTGCCATTGTGTTGGAGGGTAATGGGAGGTATATACTGGTATTCATGTCTATCCCATCCTAACACATCACGTCTCGTTTCATTGTCATGACTCTACCGGCTTTATTTCTTACAAGATTTTCATCAAAATTTTGTACCAAAGTCAGATATGAGAATAACTCTGAAAGTTTGTATTTTAGGGCCTCAAGGTCTATACCATGATCACTGTTACTATTATAGATTAACCCAGGGCCAAGTAAATTTTCTATTGTCTTGTAGATACAAAAGTTAACCCGATGCTCTCATCACCATCCAGATCATTATCTCTTCCTTTTGTATTTTTCCTAAGTAACTTCTTTGTCTCTCTTCGCACACCTTAACTATAACATTTTGCTTTACATAAAAGGTATGCCTTGAAACGTCACCTGCTGAAGTTTGAGGCGATCTACCCGAACTCTGCTGTACCGCTCGGCTTTATTAGGGGAGAACCTGTGTATGCACGGGACTGTGTTCATGTGGTGAGTAGAAATACTGTGAAATCAGAAATTGTCGTTGGGCCAAAATGTTGTCCAAAAAAACCTTAAGTACACGAGTATCCACTCGAAAAGAGAATAGCTTTAGCTCAAACTTGTATCTACTTCATGGAATATGAATTATGACTATGATGGAGCTTACCCACATAATCAACGAAATTAAAAACCCAACAAAAATTAGTGACTTTACAGTACCTTACATTTGCTGCCATACAACTTAATCCTATTGTGGTAGCTTAATTTAATTAAACTTAAAAAAATCCTTGAGAATTATTGTTACTGTTAATATTCCTTGAATTTTGAGAAACCACACTGAAAAAAACTAATTGGGTACTAATTGGTGTTTGCCTTAAAAATTTATTCTCAAATTCCTGAAAAAAAAAACTTTCCTTTTTGCTGAAAATCTATTCCCAACTCCCTAATCAAAACCTTGAAAAGACCTGAAATTTGAACTGAAATAATCTTAGAGGTTAACTTGTGTGTTATTGATGCATGTATCTTTAGCGACTTTCGATGATGTCATTGCTTGGTTTAATTCATGATATGATGTCACGGCAGTCACTAGTGTTAAATATACATATATGTTTTGATTTTCAGTTACATTCCAGGGAAAACTGGTTAAAGGAAGGGCGAGCTGTCCGAGTGAGTACTAGTTGACGAGATCATAGTTGTGGGAAAGTGTTCCACTCATCTGAGTAGATTACAACAGTAAGAGGACAGAGTATATTCCATCGTAGGTTCATAATTTGATGTCAGGCCACCTCGACTGTCTTGCATCCAATTATGAAACTCATTGTCGAGTACCCGTTTCCCACTGCGATACACAATGAATACATGTAATCCTTTCCTCGAGTTTTTACATTTCTTTTCTATGCAAACAAAATGCAACATTTCTGGTCCAGGAAATCATCGTAGAAATATATTTTGATTCTGTAGAACATCGGAGAGATATTCATTAACTTGACAAGTGCCGTAGTGATTTGTTTATTTCTTCTCGGGTACTCTGAAATTTCAAAATTTGGGAACTGGAATTTTTTTGAATTATCAAAAAATGAGATATGTTAACAGATTGTATTATAAAAATGTTATTCACATATAAGTATGCAATCTTCTTTAGAGCCGTAGTTTTACTATACTTGCTCCTAAAGTACCGGTAGATAAAGACACACTGCACAATCAATTAATGTTAAAATTTGACATGGTAGCCATCATAGAGTCAAGCTATTTTTGTGAAAAGACACTGTCTTGTGTAGATGTGGAGATAGGAGTATATACAGCAAGTTATCTACTCTTTTCTAGTTCTAACCAATCAGGTGATAAACTTCCTATCTCCTGATAAATATTAGTCATTTGTATGTATTATCGCATTGGAAATGAATTTCAGTAAATGAAATAAGCACTTACCGTTGCTAGATAGGACTCTCAGTTCAAACATGTTACCTTTATAAGGAGTTAAACTTACCTGCGGCAGGAGTCCGTTGAAAATGGACAGTTGATATTGGAGTTAGATGCAAATGTACAATAAATGTACTTGTGTTAATTTTAAATCTTCATTCATATATATATATATCAACTTTGTTTATTTTACAACAATTATGAAACAAGTTATTTCAACTTATATTAATCATTCTTGTTGGCTCGGATGTTAGCACGCAGGGGGTCTAAGTGTGGGAGGAAACTGGAGTACCTGGAGAAAACCCATGTGGTCGAGCAGGTGACCCCATACCTTTTCACGTCTGATCGGGGAATCGAACCCTGGCCGCATTAGTGAAAGGCAAGTGCGCTATCCACTGCATCGCCTGACAACCCAATTGTGTCATTCATTTGAAATCTATAAGATTTTTTTTATGTTTACAGCTTGGTGAGGAGACCTACAAAATGGTGAAGTCCAGACCTAAATGGGTGAGTCATGTGATGAAGAAAAATTCTCAAAAATACACAAATTTCAATGTTTACATGTCAGTTACAAGATATGTTGTCCATTATTCAAGACAACTGGGAGTCTCTGAATCTTGTGTGATATATATCAGATTTATGGTAGGTATATGTAACGTGTTCACTTGTACATATGCCTTTGTCACATAAGTAGATGGGATAGCCACTCATTTTACAATTATTTCTAATCTGTACAATTTTTCATGTTGATCAATCTGTTTAACAGGAACATTTTTGCCCCATTCAAACCTTCGCCCATGAAATCAATTTTTGCCCAGTGTTAATTCTGCCCTTCATATTTAATTACTTTGTTTATTATGCTGTTGACTTATATTTGCTGTAATGATTAATTCACCCTCATTAAGGTTGGTGAAAAGGGCGAAAAGTAAACTGCATCGAACATTTCCCGGTATAACAATTTTCTAAGTACCAGGGCCCACTTGTATAAAACATCTCAACTCTTGAGATTTCCTCAAGTCTAAGATTTCCCATAGACAATACATTGCTTGAGATTTTCCTTAACATTGAGATGTTTTATACAAGTGGGCCCAGTACCTCTGTTGATGCAAAACCTTTGAATGTTAAGTACAACATAAATTATATGCGATGCTGAAGTAGGTTTAAAACTTGCTGTTGACATTATAATGTCTAGAATAAACCAAAAGAAAATCCAGATGCACTGGACCTGGAACTTTTTGGACACTGGCAGACTGAAGATTACATCCCACCACCAGCTGTTGATGTGAGTAATCTCCCTTGAATATCAGACAACTTCCTGGAAGTTAAACAATCATTTTATTGTTAGAAGTTTGATCATAGGAAAACTAGATCAAAAGGCAACCTCACTTTAAAATAATAATGTCAAACACTGCATTATGAAGTTTTGTTCCAAACTTACCCCGAGATGCTTATCTGCTGACATGACTATATATATATATATATATATATCAATCCAACAGAAAAAAAAAGACAAGACTGACATTTAACAAATAAAGTTCTTTTTGATATTTGACACAATGATCCCTCTTATTATGTAATTATGATTGAGATTTAAGCAATTAAAGGTTATTGGTGTAATTTTAGGGTAAGGTTCCACGAAACGAGTATGGGAATGTGGAACTCTTCAAGGAAAGCATGTTACCAGGGGGAACGGTACACTTGAAAGGTGAGTCTATAGGTAAAAGTACCCTGTAGTATATTGTTGGGTTATTTTGTGCATAAAACAGAATTCTACCACGTCTGTGATGTAACGACGGTTTTCATTGGTTAAAAAGAGTGCATTATTGAGCGATATACCATGCGCGTGCCAATAACCAATGCACGTGAATTAGTGCGCACGCATGCTGTTCCAACAACCTCCCCGTTTTAATCATGAATCAAAAATAGCATAACTGTCAGGCAAGATCAAAATATTTGACAGGCCTGCCATTCAAAAGATTACACTGATCTATAAACCTAAAGTGTGTGGGTCCGTGCAATGAAAATGGTTTATTAATTATTGACATTTAAAATGTACAGGTCTGAAGACAAAATGGTAAATTATTAATTACTTCTGTTTTTACTTCACTGGGTAGTGCCGTACATTTCACGATGTGTGCAGTGTGTGTATGTACTGTCAAGCGTTGATTTCATGTTTTGATGAACGACGTCGATAGTGTGCCAATGTTTGATTGATTGATATAAACAACGTATCTGACGTCACACCTATTCAGTTGTTTCTGGTCTGCAAAATGTCGTCTGCTTTCAAAAAATCAAAGTGATGTCGAGCATTCGCCTACAGTGTACATACCGTGTGTGAAGAATAATGTTGCAAAAAGTAGCATCGGTCTGAACAGTGGTTGCAAAACACAGCTGTCCCGTGAAGTCGGTGAAGGTGAAGTTTGCGTCATGATCAGCCGGTCAGCGACTTTCCATCACGTCATGGCAACCAACTAAATATGCCAACTCATGTAAGGCCTATCGTATGATGTTGTATCAATGGCACTTCCAAGAAAATCCGCTTGATATCGGTACGATGATGATGGTTTTAGAAGTAAATGCAAACTGGGAATCCCAACCCTACGCACTGAGAAATGTTGGCGCGACATTGATCAAGTTAAAACGAGGCAACACGATCATGTGATAAATCTTGCACGCGCAAAAGAACAGCGTCTAATCTGGATATCGAATTATCTAGGTCATGTCGCCTTATAAGACAGCAAAACTTTACAAGTAGTTACATTTGACGTGGTAGAATAAAAATAATCAACTTATGTGCATGCATTATGGTGGAATATATAACTCGGGGTTCGAAAATGTTGGAAAAATAATTAACTCGGGCCGAAGCGGCCTTCGTATTTTTACCAACATTTTCTCACCCTCGTTATATATTCCACCATAATGCACGCACATATGTTGATTATTTCTTAAATAGACTATGTTTATTGTTATTTTCATCATGTTACTGTTGATTTCTAACAAACCTTTAGACATTACCATATTGTAAGTATGCACTACTCTGAGGATATAGAAATTTCACCTAATGTTTTTTGAATTTCCATAACCCCCATACTTATACGAGATTATGGATCACCTGTGGGTGCTGTCAATAATTGTGATATTGCATTGAAACATTTGGATGACATCACATTTAAGGTGAAGCCATGAAATATTACAGGTGGAAGTTTATATAGAAAGCATTCTTTATCAATAATCAAGTTGATTTTTTTTTATTTATTTCCTTTAAGGACGCTATTTGGAGGATAAAAAGTAGAAAATAAGATGTATGTGGGTAAGGACTGGTCCAGAAATAACCATATTGGATGGGTGGGAGGCACTTTTTCAGAGACCCCACTGTACCACCAATCAAATATAAAAAGTTATTTAATATTAGGCAGATCTGGTTTTAAATCCACTACCTATAACATATCAACACAGATGCCTCCCACCTCCCCCATATGATCAATTGTGGAATAGCTATAAGAACATATTATTCTCGGTTGTTAATCTTTCACCCCACATAACGTCAGTCTTACCTGTGATTTTCCCATCCTACACTCACAGGTATATATGAGGATTGTGAACATAATTATGTTAACCTCTTGTATGTCTTGTATGTCAGTGCCCGGATTAAACAAAGTTGCCAAGAAACTTGGTATTGACTGTGTTCCTGCCATGATGGGATGGGACACACACTGTGGATTCTCTCATCCCATGTGAGTATGCTGAAATAGCCAAATAAATTCGCAAAAGTCAACACAGCAAAAACAATTGGCAGGGAAACAATTTGTTTTAAATACTAGATATTATTGTTGGCATAATTTTTTTTTATTTTTTATTTTTTATTTGCTTTTCACCATGCTCCAATATTCCTACATTATGCACTACTTCTGATCTGTTGTAATGAACTATAACTATTAGAATAATTCTTACTTAAATATTAATGTATTTTTAAAGTAAAACTTTGATGTACAATACAGTGTAGTACACTACTCCTCAATTATATATACTGTTAAACTTTGATGTACAATACAGTGTAGTACTCCTTAATTATATATACTGTAAAACTTTGATGTACAATACAGTGTAGTACTCCTCAATTATATATACTGTAAAACTTTAATGTACAATATAGTGTAGTACTCCTCAGTTATATATACTGTAAAACTTTGATGTACAATATAGTGTAGTACTCCTCAATTATATAAACTGTAAAACATTGTTGTAATGCCCCCTCATTTGAATTACTCTTTGTTGTAGACTAGAAGGGTTTGTTGTGTGTGAGGAACACAAAGATATCCTATTGGCCGCCTGGGATGAAGATCAGGAGATACAGCGCCAGAAGGAGGCTGAGGTCAGTAGACAGGTTGTCGGTAAAACATTATATTTTTGTACTGTCAGAAGAAGGCTAAGGTCAGTAGACAGGTTCTCTGTAAAACATAATATTTTTGTACTGTCAGAAGGAGGCTGAGGTCAGTAGATAGGTTGTCGGTAAAACGTTATATTTTTGTACTGTCAGAAGTAGGCTGAGGTCAGTAAGCAGGTTGTCGGTAAAACATTATATTTTTGTACTGTCAGAAGGAGGCTGAGGTCAGTAGACAGGTTGTCGGTAAAACGTTATATTTTTGTACTGTCAGAAGAAGGCTGAGGTCAGTAAACAGGTTGTCGGTAAAACATTATATTTTTGTACTGTCAGAAGTAGGCTGAGGTCAGTAAGCAGGTTGTCGGTAAAACATTATATTTTTGTACTGTCAGAAGGAGGCTGAGGTCAGTAAACAGGTTGTCAGGAAAACATTATATTTTTGTTACTCTCCACAAATGTGTCACACAAGGAAATGTCATTAAAAGTAATAGGAGAATTTGTGCTGAAGTTGGCCGAGTGATGAAGGCGTCCGACTTTCCTGCGACGCTAAAACCGTCCTTAAATGATCATAGCTGTTAATAGGACGTGAAACACAAACAGATTGTTCTGAAACCTTAACTGTTACACTCAGGACAATATAATTGATATAAGTAACTCGGAAACCATTCCTGTTAAATTAACAATATCATTGATGCTATTTCAGAAAAAGGAAAAGCGAGTGATCGCTAACTGGAAACTGTTGACAAAGGGACTCCTGATTAAGGAAAAACTCAAAAGGAGGTTTGACCTTCAGACGTTCACTAAGGTAAATTTCATAAAATACTTGGTGTGTTTGAATTAATTTAGGCAAATTATTGTCAATTAAAACACACACATAGTATAGTTTTGTTCCCTTTTTATGTCTTAAGATGTGGAGACTGATTTATCTTAGTGATAAACATTGTATATATATATTGAGTGAAATAAAACTGACATACATGAGTAAAAATAGCAACATTGAAGTAATTCAGTGATTTGTATCAGAGACCGTGATATTTAAATCAAGATTGAAGATACATGGACATTTCATGTAGAAATAGGAATTGCAGTTTAAACAGTAACACAAGGACAATGATAATATTATAAGCAAGTTTCAATACACAATCCTCTTTCTTTGATAGGCAAGTTCGGAGAACCATTTGGAGAAATGTGAGGATCCAGACGCAGCCAAAGCTGAAGACGTTGAGAAATCCTGGCCTAGAAACAGGGAAATCAAGAAAAAGGGAAAGAAAAAGTATTCTGAAACAGAAGTGATCTGAAATCAACATAATGTGACACAGAGTTGATCTGAAATCAATATCATGTGACACAAGTGATCTGAAATTAATAGATTGTGACACAAGTGATCTGAAATTAATACAATATGACACAGAATTGGTCTGAAATTAAAATTAATATAGTGTGACACAAGTTTGATCTGAAATCAATATGGTTTAACACAGGTCATTAGATACCATTATAATTAGACTAAGATGTGATCTTAACGTCAATAGAATGTGAATCAGAACTGATCTAAAATCAGTATAATGTGAGAGAAGCCATCTGACATTAGTGGCCCGGTTATGTGAGAAGTCATCTGATAGTAGTGGCCCGGTTATGTGAGAAGTCATCTGACAGTAGTGGCCTGGTTATGTGAGAAGTCATCCGACAGTAATGGCCCGGTTATGTGAGAAGTCATCTGACAGTAGTGTCCCAGTTATGTGAGAAGTCATCTGACAGAAGTGGCCCGGTTATGTGAGAAGTCACCTGACAGTAGTGGCCTGGTTATGTGAGAAGTCACCTGACAGTAGTGTCCCTGTTATGTGAGAAGTCACCTGACGGTAGTGGCCCGGTTATGTGAGAAGTCACCTGACAGTAGTGACCTGGTTATGTGAGAAGTCATCTGACAGTAGTGTCCCAGTTATGTGAGAAGTCATCTGACAGTAGTGGCCCGGTTATGTGAGAAGTTATCTGACAGTACTGGCCCGGTTATGTGAGAAGTCATCTGACAGTAGTGTCCCAGTTATGTGAGAAGCCATCTGACAGTAGTGGCCTGGTTATGTGAGAAATCATCTGACATGAGTGGCCAGGTTATGTGAGAAGTCGTCTGACATTAGTGGCTTGGTTATGTGAGGAGTCATCTGACAGTAGTGGCCCGGTTATGTGAGAAGTCATCTGACAGTAGTGGCCTGGTTATGTGAGAAGCCATCTGACAGTAGTGTCCCTGTTATGTGAGAAATCATCTGACATGAGTGGCCAGGTTATGTGAGAAGTCATCTGACAGTAGTTGCCTGGTTACGTGAGAAGTCATCTGACAGTAGTGGCCTGGTTATGTGAGAAATCATCTGACAGTAGTGACCCGGTTATGTGACATCTGAGGCATGTAAATGGATGTTTCCAAGAGGGATCTTTCTTTCTTTGTTTTAAGTAAAAAAAAGCATGATGTCTCAGGTTTTACTTTACAAAAGTATATACTTAATTTCAAATCATTCCTTTTTATAGGCAGAACTGTATTCATATTTGTAACCAGGACCTTATAATGTATATTGAGAGTAGAAAAAGATCATAATGAGTGAATGTCTTCCAAAACTGATATAAATTCATTAATTGTTAGTCATTTTAAAATGAAAGTAATAAAGGATAATAAAACTTTTTTATTATTTTTTTCTTTTTCGGATCACTTCAACCCCCAACTCGTCAAGCCAGTCTCACTAATGTGTACAAACATTTGTTTATTTATATATAGAATTGTTTAATTATTGACAAGAAATTAATGTGACTTATTTGGTGTAGCTGTTAGCAGACTTGGTCTCCGTTTCACCTCGATATTGAATATCATATTGTGATCTTTTAAAAAAACAGTCTCTTAATTTAGTCTCCTCAATCTAGAATGATGTTATATTTGCTTGCACGTAGACAACATCGCTCCCTGTCAAATTCATTATCTCATAAGGATATCAGCAGAGATGTTTTTCTTCCATTTAAATCTAACTTCCATACCTTTCCTCCTGGAAATCGTCCAAAGGTAGCCTTTGATCCCAGCATTTATTTAAGAGATCGTCAACACCAGGTATCACGGGGCCACGACATTGGTAATGTAAATATATGATTAATTCAATTACACATTACATTGGAAAAGTAGCATCACCATTACATGGCTTTAGTAATGTAATTAATTAAATAACAATTACATTACTAATGTAATTAATTACCATAACACATTACTTTTTTTAGTTAAACAAACAAGTGAGTAACATTTAAACATTGGGCTTTATATACTTTCATTAAAATACTACATATACATTATAAACATGACTGCACTCCATATACTGGTTCCCTGTTACTACAAGTTTTAAAAGTTTATATTATCATGATTATACACCTTAGTTTCACATAACAATAACTCAGCAAGATCTTTTAAGGTGTCCAGCCTCGCCGGGAATGAAGGTTGTTTTGTTGTGATAATAAGTACAGAACTAAGACGGGATGTGCATTCTGTAGACACCTGTTCAACTGGACTTGGAGAGGTGCAAGTGTACTCTCTAGCCTATCCTTGGGTCTAGTTTCCAGGATCTTTGTAAAGGTACTAGAGGCTGTGATAGCTCTGCTGATGCCTGGATTTTCCATCCCGGAAATCCTGAGCGATTTTCCATCCTGGAAATCCCAGGGGTTACGCGCACTTATGTTTTCTGCACCCCTGGAAATATGGCATGACAAAACCGAATGCAGCTGTTAGCTATTTTATTGGCTTCAGATTAGTTACTGGCATTTGAAGACTACAGGAGAGCGAGCGACACCCAACTCCATAAAACAGTCAATGTTAGCATTACGATGCTGCACAATTCTTTTGATCAAATGAAAGGTTCAAACCAGTCTATTTGTATCATCATTACATATTCCATGGGTGCAGAAAATGTTACAGAACATAATTCCGAGAATGGAATTTTCCTTTATTTGCAATAAATACAAGGATGCTTCGCTTCAATGATGACGGAACATTGCATACTATTTGATAATGATATTGGATATGGTTTTACGCATGATCAACGGTCCTGCAGCAGTAAGGTGTATAGCGGATATTCCATTTCCCTCATATGCTTTCCATGTGTTTAACATCTAGCATTGATGCCATCTAGACTTTATGATCCCTTCTGTTTCTAATGGATAGTCACTTTCAATTTCAATATGGCTGTATTTGGTTTTGTAAGGTGACCGGGATAGTCTTTCCAGGTCGAGTTATAGTTTAGAAAAGTCTTGAGTTGACAAGTTACCAAATTGCTTCTTGCGATCTGCTGTAATGATGCTACTGTTTGGATGATATTTTGCCTTTGACAATCGGTCACTGTCGGAATTCCAGAGGTTATGCTCAATTACACGTTCCCTGAACCCCTGGAATTACTCCTATAACATCGGATATGATGGTTTGCGGCGCCTGTCAACAGTATCACTCCGTGTTAAACCTCTAACATTGTTAGAGTACCCTGGAATATGTCATGACAAAACTGAAGGCACAAAGTAAGCGATTTGATACTTTTCAGTATAAAAAACTAACCAATCGTTAGGCTGATGCCTGTCCTTTGAAGTTTATAAAGGAGTATCACATGACTTTAAAGTTGGTCAATTTTACCGTTATGCTGCCGCGGGATTCTTTTGATGTACATCAAGGATCTAGTATAATTGTATCATCCGCAAGGTTTCGCATACAGAGCCTTCGATTTTGTCATGACATATCATATTGGCGTGAAAACGGAAGTGAGCGTAACACCTGGAATTGCGAAGATAACAATGAGTAAGTTAGGAATCTCCTTCCTATGCTTCAAAATGACCAGTAGATGCGTCAATAGTAGTGGTAGACTAATGGTATGACGTCGACAACGGTGAGTTAACAAGTTCAATTACATTTCCCACTCTGATCTTGGCACTAGCTGTTCTTATTCTTCAGCTTCTTTTTCTCATTCTTTGCTTCCAAACCTATCTCCATTGTTCTAATTCTTGTGTGCATTGCGGTAAGCCTGCACTGTGTTTCTGTTTCATAGCCCTTTACCGGCTTTAAGGGGCTAGAGACTCCTTTGGTGCTGTATAGGTCACCATCCTGCTATATATGCAATAACTGCTGCCTAAGAGTGTATTTCATAGGATCACACGCGGTAGTATAGTGTTAGGGACATTTAAGTCTACAGTGTTTTCGTCCAGCTTGGCTTCACAAAACGTTACGTCTTTTCTTGATATGAACAGATTCGGACTAACCGTTGTGGGGGATGCCGTTTGATATGTTTATTGTATCCACCTTATGAATTTTAAACTAGTATGTTTCCGCCATGTAATAATTAATAGCCTAATTACCATTTTCACTTGCCATTGTTTTGCTAAAAAATATTAAGAAAGTTTTCTATGACTAAAATATTGTTGACAGCGACGAGTTTTTGGTCCATCATCAGATAGTTGGCTGTCCAAATGATCTTTTGTACGTCATCCATCCTTTAAACATTTCTTTTTACCGCTATTTCTTAAGACGTACTAACTGGATATTTCGGATTTCTTATGTAGTATATGGCCCGTAGTTGAACGTTTCAATTTGAGACTTATTGGAAGAACACGATAGCTGTCAGATTTCAAGTTTGTCATTGCCATTTCCCAAGAAGTATTGGACAACATTTTTTATTCCAAATGTCATATCAAGGTCCCCCTGGTCTTAAATTGCACATGCATGATTTTGAGACTATCTGAAGAACAAGATGTGCTTTTCTTAAAACTCTCTTATCTTTCCTAGTCATACCAGTTAGGCTGTATTCATTTAACTTATCTATACATGTACAAGCATATCTATGAATGTACTTATCAAAATAGTAAATTAATTTGAAAGTGGAGGAAGAAGATCACAGGGAAAGCTAAATCAAGACCTATACCAGTATCAAAACCTGTTTGATCACCTGTTACGGTCTACATCCACGTTTGATTGTATTAGGGCTTATCCACCGAGTCCAACACAAAAAGGTGGACACGGTAAAATCACAAGAACCTGATAATTTGTTACAGCTATATTTGGATCTAAACTAAGGTGTTCAGAGTACTTTTACATGTAATAGGGGTTTAGATCGACCACCCCCAATGATCATAATTATATAGATCATTGGGGTGTCATTTTTACCGAAAGTCGATCTAAACCCCTGAAACATGTAAAAATACTCTGAACACCTTAGTTTAGGTTCAAATATAGCTGTAACCAATTCTCAGGTCCCTGTGGTAAAATGCTATGGAACTGACTTTGTATAGCAAGGAACTTAAAAACCAACAATGTACGACAGGGGAAACGATTTTGTTTTCTTTTAATTAACAAAAAGTGGTAAAAACTGGTGTCTGAAGATATAACAAAACAACGTATTTACAGCAAGGAAAACATCAAGAGTTTTTGACGAGAATTGCATGTTTATTTAAGTTTACCTAAACTTTTGCTACCGACTTCAAAACGCGTATACTATTTGAATCGTGATTAATTTGACATGGGTTTCATTTAGAAAATATAGTAAATCGCTTAAATATATCAAGTTATCTTTTCAAAGTTTCCACAATGTTTCAAATGTGCAAGTATGTCTGTCATAAGTAATTATGACAGACATACTTGCACATTTAAAACACAACATCACGGGTTTATACTGTGTCAAGTACTTGCAATACAGGTTAAACGTACAATAAACGGATAATAAACACTTGTTTAAAAGATACTATGTGCGCCATGCGCTACAAGACATTTCTATAAAGAAAAGACGAATCAGTTATTGTGCCATTAAACATTGTGACTGGCTCCTGAAATGTGCATTTCCTCGTCATTTTCTTAATAACTCAACAATTTGTAAAATGTCATTTATTCTAGCGCTGGCATTACTCCTTCTTTGGGCATGATTGAGACTGGTTGGGTACGAAATCTCAAAACATCTTTAACTCCAGGATGAACGTAATCACATAATTTGTAAATTGAATCTAGAGTCTTCTAAGCCAAAGAAATCACCGACATAACACCCGGTAATCGGTGGAATTCCTCAGGGAAGTGTCTTAGGTCCAATACTGTTTGTAGTTTATATAAATGACCTACCAGAATGTGAATGTACCCTTTCAAGAACCTTTTTGTTTGTGGATGATACAAACATTTACAGGGGGGAAAAAAGAACGATAAAGATAGACTACTACAACATGAGATGGACAATCTGCAAGCCTGGTCTAATTCATGGCTTGTAAAACTATTCAACCTCAAAAATACAATCTACTTACAATAAAAGGAAAGGCGACAAGAAAGTATTTCATGGCAGGAGCGGAAGAAGATTAAGTTAAACTTGAGGAAATTTCATCAGAAAAGGTATAGGAATAACGGTGGACGAAGATCTCAGTTTTTCATCACAAATAGTGTACATGGGTGTTGTTTTTTACATTTAGATGAAATAACAGTTAAACAGGTTTTCAAGGCACTGGTCAGGCCACACTTGGAATGCGCAGCAAGTGAGTGGAATACATGCTAAACAAAATACACAGAATCAACCAAGAAAGTACAGCGTAGAGCAACGAAACCGGTACCTGGGCCGGAACTAAAAGACCTACCATACCGTGATCGTCTAAAAAGATTAGGCTTTCCATCCCTCACATACCGTAGACTGATAGGAGACACAATCAACGTGAACAAGATTATGAACAAAACATAACGTCTAGAATTTTTAACCATGAAACGTCATCAAGAACGAGAGGTCACACACAAAAATAGAATAAAAGACAATGGAGATCGAAAATATTTATTTGGTTTCAGAATTATCATATTTGGAACGGTCTTCCCGAATATGTCATAAATTCAACAACTATAAAAGACTTCGAAATCAATATAGACAAACATTTGCACAACTTAAAGCTAATATACAATAATTTGGCTAGTTACAAAGAGATATCCGGAAGAGACGAATAATATTATATGTACATTGTATTGATATAAGATATGGACATAGAGGCACCCACTGTCTGCGTCCATTATCTTTCCTGATCAATTACATTGTATGCAAGCAGGTACAAGCGGTATGCATGTGGATTGAAGTGGAAAACAAGGTGGCTTAGAACCAAAGGTACAAAATTAAACAAAAATATTTACATGCAATATCAAATTATATACAAGATTAGTTATAATAGCAGTCTATATTGTTACCTGACTCGCTATATAAATGCATATTAATCAATTTCGACTGTTTCCCAGACAATTCACCAAACAAACTATAGCTAATGTGTGCTACCGTAAAACTGTTGACTGGTCACCGTAAAACTGTTGACTGGTCACGTGAAACTGTTGACTGGTCACGTGCAACTGTTGACTGGTCACATGTTAGGTAATCGAACGCACCTATAATTACAAGCACCCCGATGAGCAAGCGTTTTTGGTACTGGATTGTTGACGGTTGTCTGTCGGTAGATCTAAATATCACATTCGACATAGAACTTTTTGGTTTTTCATTGGTCAAGTAACAAAACAGTTGTTCCATGCCTTATCAGTCAACAGTCAAAACCATTTTCCCTCGGAGTTGGGACCCACCAAATGAACTGTTTCCCTCGGCCTGCGGCCTCGGGAAACAGTTCATCTTGAGGGTCCCAACTCCTCGGGGAAAATAGTTTTGAATGTTGACTGATAAGGCATGAAATAACTGTATACTGTCATCACAACACAATGTTGTAAATTTATCGCAACAGAGCGGTGAAACTGTTGCTTTAATCATCTCCAATGTAGGTTGAATTGCATTTTGTTCTTCAACATTTTTTATCTCTGATTTAGAACCGGAAGCAATACCTTCTACTTCCGTTTGGTGGTAGGATCATGGAGTTTGATTTGATGGATGGTTGGATGGTCCTGTTCCACACTCGATGTATCTCCCGACAGCTGTGTCGCAGTCTGATGCGCCCTCATAACCCTATCTTTCCAACTACCCTAACAATTAAAATTCCACTTCAGATCAAAGCTCAATCCCGCTCTTCATTATTTAATCATCTCTCGGTTTCTTCATGGAATGTATTTATTCCTATTCAACTCTTTTTTACTCAACATTGAATCCATTTCAAAATGTTATCTGCACATATTCAATATCGCATTCAGTCATGAAGAAATCAGGTCCACTCCGTCTCATGGGTCTCACCAAGGCTCGGCCTTGACTGTGTAAGGTGGCGGGGCGGTCTGAGGCGAGTCTCCCGGGACACATTCGTAGGCGTATGGTGGAAGGCCAGGCAGCTTGGCTGACCTACTCTGGTCTGGCGGGCGATGTTCTTGTTGGAACGTATCTAGAAATTAAAAATACCAAGGACATTTGGAAGAAGGTGGCAGTATTTATAATATAAATGATTCTTTAATGAGCAACAGACTGAGGATTTCGGCGTTTATGAATATTAATAAATATTTTTCATTAGATAAAAACAGTTAAAACAAGTTGCTGAACAAATCCTGTACAGAAGTACGCATGCCCTCGACCATAAAAGTGTTTCGCTTGGTTACAACTGTTCATTATATTTTCGCCACTCACGTTCTTTTCTTGAGAATGCATATTATTCGTAAGTGCTGTAGTCCCGTCACAATTTTGACAGTGCGTATTCGGTTTCTGAGCCAATCTCGATAATATTGAATGATTTTTAATTGGTTTGCAACATGGGCAAAGGGAAGCAATTGTTTCACAATTTAATATTTTTAAATGAAAAAGGTCAAGTTTGTTTCCAATGTAAGTAGTTTGAACATTTTGAAGGCTCATGAAAACACATGACATACTAATGTAGACATCATTTGTGTATAATAATTCTTACCGATTCCTTGGCTGTCGATGACAGACACATTTACATTAAACGGACGGGTGTCTGAAAGTGCGGGAGAGCTACAGCCCACATCCCGGGGGTGACCACAGCAACCACACTGTCTACACACAAAGATGACCACTATTAGGAAGATTCCGAACGCTAGAAGGGAACCAATCACTATCCAGGACAGCTGGTCATTTGAGCTGAAACACCAAAACACCGTCAACAGAGTCAGTTCCAACCACATACAAATAAAGATATCTACTTTGTCGACAAGAAACGCATACAGCCGTCAGTAGGGAACCCGAAAACCAAAGCATGTGCCGACACAAGTGATAAATACTTATTTTATTATTAACGCCTCACAACAACAACAAAAAATCATTTTAAGAAATATCCCCCCCCCCCCAAAAAAAAACAACTAATAATAAAAAATATTTTACATAAAATTATAAATGAAAACGCACAAAAAACAAAAACAAACGAGAGGGAGAGAAACTTACAGACCGTAGTCGTACACGCTGTGGTATGTGTAGGCTCCAGCACAGCTCGGAGAGACTTGCCCTTGAAAAAAAATCATCTTTGTCAGTCATATCTACGTGTGCTGTGATCGCTACAGTTATCTGCGCAGAATTATTTTTTATTAACTTTTTTTATCGTGGTTCAACGTCCTTGCAACGCAACCGACAAATATGTATGTGTGTATCTTTATGAATATTAAATATGTCCTGAATCAAAATCCAAAATACAGTCTCGTATTTTAGAAGTGTTTTTTTTATAAGAAACTTTGGATAAGAAACCTCTACGTCACAGTTCAACGAATTCCGTTGAATTCCTGGCCCTAACAGCGAGTATTTATTGTGTAGTAACATCTTAAAATCCTCAGCCAATCTAAATTGGGGAAGTGCTTGCAACTACCGTCTTACAAGCTCATATCAGGTATGCCTGAAGTACTGTTGAGCTATCAGTTTATATGTCGTGCAAATAGCCCTACGTATACAAAGCTTGTACTACCTTACTTTAACACACGACAAAAACTAAAAACAAAAAGTGATCGTCTGGAAAAGTCGAGGAAGTACCCGTCACCTAATATAGATATACAGAGATTCAAATTTTCTCTGAACTCATCATAATAATTACCAATACGCAAGCATATACTGTTATTTTTTGTAAAACAATGTTCAACAGACGGGCGAAATGCAAACAGATCCCCCAATTTTTACAAAAAAAGGCGGAAAAATCCAATCATAAATGAAATCGAAATGTATTGAAAATATTATATTAAAGTATAAAAAAAAACATTTACATAACAGTGTGATTTAAATACATTGAACGTTGGTAGGAGTTGATTTGTACTCAATAATAAATCTACAAATACTTACAAAACAAAACAAAGAACAATAAAATCATCCTGTAGAGCGACGTGAAACCATACCCACGTCCTCGGCAAACGTCACGACGCTGTCCTTGTTTCTATGTCGTCCTCTTCTCTGACGTCACAGCACTACAAAATTATTATTTCCCTATCTCGGCTCACGTCATCATAACACTATAAAATAACAATATTCCCGATCTCTGCTGATGTCACACAACACTATATAATTACTATATTTTCGGTCTCTGCTGACGTCACAACACTAGAAAATAACTGACGTCATCACACTTCTATGAAACAATAGTATTCTCGCTCAAAATGTCGAAAACCCACAATCCTGACAACTGTACACAACACGACGTATAACAGTGAAGAATAGCTCACCATATTACGTGCCTATCATGAGTTAGGTGCACGAGGTCGTCCTGATAATCATACCAAAGGTCAAACAAAGGTCAATCCACCCTGATTGTATAAACCATACGATAAAGCCTCGGGACTAAACAACCATAATAACGCTTATACGATGATGGGATTTAAAGTATAATAGATATGGCAAACAGGTGTGTACATGCAAGATGATGGGGGGGGG